CGGCGCGATGGGATCCTTCTCGAGAAATTTCCGATTTCAATAGCTGCGTCTCTGCGGGCGTCGATCTCGCGAACGTTCGACGCGCGACGAATTTTTCAACGAATTTTTTCTCGGCGGCTCTTGGAAGCGGAAAATCCTGTCTGATCTCGGTCGTGGCACTGTACGAAAAATTGTATTCGGTTTGCTTTTCTGCTGCTCGATCGCTGTCGCGAGCAACTGTGCTCGGAGCAGCGGGCTGTGCACTCGCGATCAGCTGACAGGCTGTTGGCAGGCGATCGAAAAACGAAACTGGTTCGAACGCGGTCATTGTACAATGGGATTGTTCTCTTTTTTTTCGTCGGCCGTGGGACCTTGGAGCAGATACGTTTTCGTGCTGGCACTTTCAGCGGACCGTGACGCGCGCGCGTGTCCTACTTCGCGCTAGACGAAAATCGTGGAACGAGGGCGGGAGGGGGGAAATGTTCGTCGACGTTCAAAGTCATCAAACAGATAAGATTCGTGCCGGTGGGCGAGTAAGCTCGCCCCCATCGAACTTCGCTTTCGCCGAATCGCGATGCGATCCAAAATTGCGGATCATCGTGGCGAAACCGCTGACTTTGCAGCCTTTGAAAAACCGGCGTTTGCAACGGCCACGCTGCCGTCCTCCGTTGAAACGTCTCATCTACCAATTTGCCACTTTTCAGGATATTTGATGATGCGTAGAACATCGCGTGGCTTTTTACCTTTTAAACCAGAATATTCTGTAAACTTCATAGAGTTCCAAATGTAATCCTATTCATTTGTTTTCGTTTATTTAAAGCTGACGGAACTCGTCGAAATTAAAGGGTCATTAATTTTTTAATTTACGATTATTCATATTGTAATTATACATTTATGAGTTATTCATTCAATTTGCATGTTACTTGCGGCAAATGTTACGACAACGCTTAAAAATCAGTTAAAAATCAGGATAAATGTCTTATCGTTACTTTTATAAACTAATATGAAGCAGCTGGTTTTTTTTGTGCACCGTAAATCTAGTGTAGAGAGTAAATCTAGAAGACGATCGTCGTTTATCGACGACGATCGACGGTTCTGTCAAACCCGTCGTCCGACTCATCCGTTTTTTCGAAAGTCCGCTCGACAGTTAGAGAAATCGATAACCGGGGAATCCAGGAGAACCCAAGAACCTGATATGAGAACCGAAAACAGCATTACACTGTCCTCCTTAACGCTAGGTTTTGCGTAACCCGTCATTGCGACGGGTCACTGATTTTTTCAATTCACGATTATTCAGATCGTAAACATACATTTATGAGTTATTTATTCGATATACTTATTGCTTATATTACAATAATGCAATGAAATTGGAATGAACGTCTCATTGTTGCTTTTATAAACTAACATAAAACAGCTGCTTTCAGCGCTTCGTGAAATTGTCCTAACATTCTCGATCGTTCAAAAAATCAAGCTTTCAAACCAACGAAATCATTTTTATCGCTAGATTTATGGTGCACAAAAAAAACAGCTGTTTCATATTAGTTCATAAAAGTAACGACAAGACATTTATCCCGATTTTTAAGCGTTATTGTAACATTTGCCGCAAGTAACATGCAAATTGAATAAATAACTCATAAATGTATCTTTACGATACGAATGATCGTAAATTAAAAAATTGATAACCCGTCATTTCGACGGGTTCCGTCAGTGTTGAATAAACGAAAACAAATGAATGGGATTACACATTTGGAATTCTATGAAGTTTATAGAATATTCTAGTTTAGAGGGTAAAAAGGCACGCGATGTTCTACGCATCATCAAATATCCTGAAAAGTGGCAAATCGGTAGATGAGACGTCGATAAACGACGATCGTCAGATTATTCGATCCCGGATCGAACAGATAACCGCGAAGACGCGTTGCGCGATCACTGCGTCATCGTAGCCGCGATGATCGAGTGTCGTTCGCCGATGACGTCACCGACGGCGTCGTTCCTCGGTTTTACCCATGGGACCTTTTCGACGCGCGAAGGCTTTTCGCAGCCGATCTCCTCGCTTCCGTTTCCTCGTTCGCGTAATCGTACGAACGCGAGAACGCTTGCTAGGCGTTGCGTTAACTCGGATAAGAAATGCCACTGGTCTCATCTTCGGCGGCTACTCAAAAGTGCGAATAAACGGCGCGTCGGTCGGCAGCGAAACACACAATGTTTGCCTGCGATGTAAACGAAAAGGTGCGGTGCAATAAAACTGGAATAGAACACGGTGTACCGGGTGGTCTCGAAGCGAATAACCATCGCGCGAATAACGTCTTCAAGTTTTATCGTCGGAGAGATCTGCGGGCGTCGCGTGGTATGCGTATTGCGCTCGAAGTCGTATTTAAGGAAACTGGAATCTGGAATAAACTTTTCGTTTTCCTTGTTGACGCTTTCGGCGGAACGAGGACAAAGAGCCGTTGCACAATTTCGTATAATGTAAACGCGCGAAGTTCCGCAGTCCGGCTGTAACGAGCAACGAGCTTGTCACTCGCGATTTGTAACTACGCACAGTAATTAATCCGCCGAGATTGCGCAAAAAAATGGACGATTCGGGAAGAGGAGGTACGATCGATCGAGCCTTCCGGATCGTTTTTATAGTTACCGATTGTCGACAAAAAACGGGAAGGTTCGAATAATCGTATCTCCTCTTCCCAAATTGTTCATTTTTTGCGCGCAATCTGAGCGCGAATTAGGGAGAAATTGTTGTACTCGAGAAATTTCTGTATTTTTTTTATAGCAAAATCTTCGATGAAAGTTACATGTTTTTCGATCACCGAGAGTGCCATATATCCTGCAATTACATGCACCGGTCTTTTCTGAAAAGGAAAATCGATTTACGGAACAGGTTCGATCCAAAAGAAAATTCAGGCAACCCATCCTTTGTCCTTGATACCACCTACTTGCCAACCTACTTGCACTCGAGCTCTCTGGATCTTTTCTCTGCTCGAAGCGAGTGCGCACAAAACTGTCTTCTTTCGGAGGATATACGATCAATGGAATTGTAGTTTTATTTTTGGCCAGGCTTCGCAATACCTCCTACATCCTCGTGAAATCCCCTTGAAACAAGGATCACCGCCGTCTATCCATATTATCGAGCGAAGAGGCTGGACAGAAACGCAAGAAATTCGGACCGGATCGGTCGATCTGACCGCAGGATCATTAAATTAGAAGACCAAGGAGAGTTCTAGGGTAGTGGAGACACGGTTAGCGTGGGCTGTAGAGCAGGAGTGTCAAACTCAAAAGCTAACTTGGGCCAAATAAACAATGCTTAACTTTAGGTGGGCCGCAAAAAAAATCAATGTTCATAGAAACAAATATTTTTATTTTGACTAGTACATTGTAATAAACATATATAAAGTTAAATTATTGTTTACGTCCTGATACTTGACATCTCTCGCAAAAATGTTCAACTCTCGCGAGTTTGACACCCCTGCTGAAGAGTAAGCAATTACTGTGAATTCTGTTCGATCTCCATAACTTCTAAGAGGAAAAACGACAATTTATATTCATTGTATTGGGATTATGGCTTGGATTATTTCTTAAATGAATATGATATTAATTCTTTTTCTTAAAAGTTTTATTTTCACTTTTATTTGAGAGAAAGATGGTATATATATGAAATGACTGAGCGACCAAATTCAACTAAGAGACCGGCGACTGAAAATCGCCTGCTTATATTACCCTTTTTGGTGCGGTCTTCTCCACCAATCAGAGGCGATTATTCATCACGTTTTACACTGTATACGCTCTTATATTGTGTATGTGCTCTAACGACACCGGCGATGATGTATCGCGGTATCTATAAAATACAGTTTACATCACCATCGGTGCGCGCTGACGGAACCGGCGGAAATGTAATCAGATATTTTCGAATCTCAGTTCTAAGTAAACTATAGATTAATTTTTGTGTCTGAGGCTAAAGTTTCTTTTTCAACACGTTGCTTCTCTATGTTTACTTAAATGTTTAAGTACTGATTTTATTCAGACCAAAACGAAGGGAACAAATAATATTCACAGATTTCTTACCAGAAATCTCCATTACGAGTTGGACTCGTCAAAGTACGGCAAGGGTTTAACCCTTTGCGGACGAGTGTCGGCAAATAGCCGCCTAAGTCTTTTTACCGTTTTTTTTCTTTATTAATTTATTAACACTATGCCGTCCAGTGGCACCACGCTGGTGCCATGCAAAAACTATCTGTTGTATGCCATTTTAAAAAGCTGAAATAACATTTGAACTATACTTCTTGGGTGTTAAAAGGCAGCAAACTAACTATAGCATTGTGCTTATTTAACAAAGAATCAAGTACGAAAATTCTTGGACGACTTATCTTAATTTTAGGAATTTATATTACCGCCATCTTCGAAATCTTTTTATAAAATCTAAAATTTCCAAGCTATTATTCCAGCGTCAAACAAAAGAATCATATATCTAAGATCTGCGGACGGCATAGTGTTAATTATTAATATAAATTAATTAATTTAACCGTGGTTTCAGAACGCATTTCAGTTCGACGAGTCAGTCTTTCTGCGTCACTACCAGAGAAACCAGCAAAGTTTTCCATATATTTATAATCCTATAATAATACAATTATATCTTATAACATTTTTACTTTATATCCAATACCTGTCGTCCACAGCGACACAATACCCGTCGAGCGGCTTCGTCCGCAAAGGGTTTAAGAAACGCCGATCAAACTGCTAAAATTGTTTTCCGTAGCGAAAACTCCTGCGCCAATAGAGCGCAGCAGTAATGGCTCCTCTGCACCCTACGGGAAATCCAAGCGTGTATTCGCGGGCGTGTGTAGCTTTTAGGTGCCACCGGAGCCGCGGAGAGGTTCAGCGACGCGTCTCGGCCTCTGTCTCTGTCTCGATTTCCGTTTCGTTTCCCGTCTCGTTTTCCGTCTCGGGCCAATGGCGTGGCTCGCGGTCGGGGGCTCGACCACGGTTGTTTCTCGCTCGCGGATAATCGCGCTCATAAAGCGGCCGCGTGCCTTCCCGGCCAACTTAGTAGCAGCCTGTGTAGCTCTTTGCGTGGATCGCGCGCAACGACCGCCTTCTCCGCGCGCCGACGAATCGACCGCCAAAATCATCCCGGCACGTTTCTCTTCCCCTCCTCCGTACCCGAGAGAAGTTTCGCTCCTGTTTCCCCGTTCGATCGGAACCGATCCGAACCGATCCGAAACGATCCGAACCGATCCGAAACGATCCGATCCGATTCGTTCGTTTCTGCCGAGATCGGTCTTGCGTTTCCTCGCTCGCCTCCCTCTTCTTCCCCCCGTCCGCCACTTTCTCCCTCTCTGTCGGTCGTGTCCGTCCTGTCTCTCTCGCACTCGGTGAAATACGCTCGGCTCGCCTTGACGATCGCTAGTCGAGGAGTCGATTCGCTGGAGGAATCACGCTGCGACACCGTGCAACCGTGCGCGCACCAGGACGACGGACGTCGGAGCGCGCCGCACTTCGATCGAGGATCGAGGCGGCGATCGTTATCTGGCCTAGCCCACCGTCCTCGAGCAGGTCTCGCGATCGCGAGGCGCGTGTGCCTCTCGATCGTGCCAACCTTCCAGGTGGGATAGAAGGTTGACTCGTCGTAAGTACACTGCAACACGTCGACACACGGGAATAAAACGTCGCCGCCTGCGAATCGATCTCGCGAACGACACGGAAACACACAGACACACACACACACAGTCCGTGGCTCGTCGATCGATTCAACAGGCCCGCCGCCGATCCTGCGAATTCTCTCTCGAGATTTTTCCCACCGATTTTTCCCAGCCTCTTGTATCGATCTATAATCGCTCGCGCCTCGTTCGAGTATTTTTCATTTTTTTTTTTAGCTGGATTCTAAAAATAGCTGGACGAACACGGAGACACGACGGACAGAGCGCGGAAGCCGCGCGCGAAGGTGTCGCGTTGCAAAACGACGATCCCGCCGCCCCGAAAATGTATAGTCTTACTGTTACGGGTTGCGCTATCGCGTGTCCGGCTCGCGTCGATCGGACGATCTCGTGGAAAAGCGATACAGTGAAGTTCGTCGCTGCACGCGCGAGCAGAGCGGAACCCGAGATCCTTGTTTCTCGATCGGGGAACACGAAGCGCGTAGTCCGCGCCCCGTCTTCGTTTCGTCTCCTTTCGGTCGCGAGTATCGTTTCCTTTCTCGATCAGACACCCGTTCGTTCGGTCCTCTTTGACCGCGCGGCGGTCACCGTTCGACGAGAGACTTTTTTTTTTATCTCCAGTCGATTCGAAAGGCCTCGATTTGGAAAGAATCGAGCGATTCGGTAGAACTTTTCGGGCGCCGTTTCTGTTGAAATCATCCGCGCCGCTATCTGCTCTACGAACAAACACGGTTTATTGCCTCGTGTCAACGACGAAATCGTTCGTTTCGCGCAACGCGAAAGATTCCGCTGGAATTCGACGTATTTTAACTACTCTGTATCGCGGCGGGCATAATGAACGGTCGAATCCGAATTCGATTTTGCGAGCCGATTCGTTATCGGAGATCGACGCGTTAACCTTTTAGGCACGACGCGCCACTATAGTGACTTTCGCGGATGTCATCTCTCTGAACGACGCGCCACTATAGTGGCTTGCTCTAGTAGCTCACTCGCTCATCGTTTGAACCAAATAATCGTCTTCATATGCATTGTTTCACACTTCTTTTGCCTTCACATCGATTTACAACAGTCTACAGGGTGCCCCAAAAATGTCTCGCAATCCGGAAATGGCGGGTTCCTCGGATCATTTGAAGCAGCTTCTTCCTTTACAAAAATGTTCTCCGAGGCACCGTTAACGAGTTATTAACGAAAAACAGTGACCAATAAGAATCGAGTACGGCTGACGCGAGGCGGCCCAGCCAACCAGCGCGCGAAGCCCAGTTCCGCTCATTGGTTCGGTCGCCTCGCGCCAGCCGAGCTCGCCTCTCATTGGCCACTGTTTTTCGTTAATAACTCGTTAACGGCGCCTCGGAGAAAATTTTTGTAAAGGAAAAGGTTGCTTCAAATTGCCTGAGGAACCCGCCACTTTTGGATTGCGAGACATTTTTGGGACTCTGCCGTCCAGAGAAATAGCCTCGCGCAGAATTCAGCCGCACCTAAAAGGTTAATTGGCACCGGCGCGACGGATCCGCCGATTTTCCGGGGTTTCGGTGAATCACGGGAGCCCGCGGAGTGCCGCGATCGAGCGTAATAATGTAGGCGCGGCAGAAATAGAGTTGTCATTGCGGTCGAGCGTTGCGGAAAGCGGGATCGTCGTCTCAGGAAAGTGAATAAGCGTGGCGCACGTGTCCTCCGCGTGGCCGCGGACGTCGGAGTCGCTTAACGCCGGAAGTTGCCAGCGTGCCCGGCTGCAATTTGATGTTTCTTCTCGATCGAGCGAGTTAGCGCGGCGATAGAACCTTATCCGTCCTCTGCTCCTTTATCCGTCCGCCGAACCGCCGCGGACAATCGCGAGACAATCGCGGCTATTTTCGTCCGCGTCTTGATAGCGGCGTCCGCGAATAGGCCACGAATAGGATAAAACGGGCTACGAATGTGTTACGAGTCGCCGGAGGACTCGCTCCCGGTCGTCCTAGCTTTCGAGAAACGAACGCACGAGCCTGCGACTAGAGGCGATCGTTCGCCGGATTAACGGACCGAGACGGCACGCTGCGATCAATCTCTGGCCGATCGTCTCTCAGGGTCGCGGAGCCGCACGGTGGCCTGGGAATTCGCTTTCCGCGGCTGAAATTATGCTAGGCGTGTTGTTACGAGGTTTAAGGTTGTAGGTACAGTGGGTCGTTGAATTCGCCTCGACACCGGCTGGGACGTTGTCGAGTCGAAAATATGTATTTCAAAAGTCGAAGTGACCATAATTTTTATGTACATGTAGACTTTTTTTGGAAGTTTTTGTGTTTTGATATGCAGAATAGCGAATACTGGCCAACTTTTGTTGGGGAGACTTTTTTGTCGGAACGTCGGAAATGCCTGAATAATCATGGTTCGTTTCGAAATTTGTTACGAGCGTTCAGTGCACAGCGATGCGAGTCCGAAACATAAAATAACGAGCAACATCTACGTCTAAAAATCGGTACATAATTAGAAACCGTACTTAACTTCTTCGAAAGCATTTTAAACATTTTTTATAAGCATTTTAAGCATTTTTTTTATAAGCATTTTAAACATTTTTTATAAGTACTTTAAGCATTTTTTTAATAAGAATTTTTAACATTTTTTATAAGCATTTTAAACATTTTTTTTATTAAAGTTTGAATTGTTAAAAATCTAACATTCTTCACACGTGAGCTAAAAAATGCTCTTGACGCGCATAAACTGTTGACATTTATGTGCTCGCACGCATCAAACGTGCATTTTGATATTTTGTAATGAATAATACAAACAATTAGTTTTAATCCCGATTTCATGTTTTTGCCATTTTTTTGCTGCATCTAATCGCAGAGCTGTACGAGGTTGTTAATCCTTTGCAGTCGGAGCCATTTTAACTCGAAATCCAAAACGTTTTCTCTGACCTACGGTATTTCCGCTTTATGTACCTTAACGCATTTTATACATATGAAATTAAATTTTGTGACTCATGCGGTAATTACAGTAATATTCAAATTATTTTGAAACGCGACGTAACAATTTTTAATGGCGCCTTGGAGCCTCCACTGGAGTGCGAAGAATTGTTATTCTGGACATCGAAGTTCCAAGGACAAAATTTCGACAATACGTAGGAAAACCAATTTTGTTAAAATATAAAAGTTGAAAAATTGAATTTTCCCCACAAAATTATTATTTCCCTGCAGAAAGACATTTCGCGGTTCGCGAATCGAATAAAAGATTTCATTCGCCAGCAACGAATTGCCCGAATGATCGAATAAGAGTTCGCTTCCGCGAACAAGAAAGAGAATAGCAGACGCGGTAGAACTTCCGTCAAAGTGTTTTCCGGCGTGGATTGTTCGATTCCCGCCGGTTTCGGAAGCGGATTGCGCAATCCCGCGAACCGAATTCCTAGGCTGCCTAAGCGCGGCGAGTAAACAATCGTCACGAGACAGTATTGCTCTTTATTTTCGGACGATCCTCGCTTGTCTGCACGAGCAGACGGTTCGCTCGACCGCTCGACGACACCCTGCCAGGTGAAAGAAGAAAATTGTTGGCTCGTTAGTCGATCGAGATCGTCCGCGCAAACCTAACAGATCGAAGCCGGCCCGTAAAACGATCGAAACTGTTCGGGAACCGATCGCGTTCGCTCGCAAATACGTGTTCTGCAAGATCAGGATCCCCTATATTGCTGAACTTTAATTTATTTTATTTTAATTAATTTTAATGTAATTTAACTTAATTTAATTTCAGTTTAGTTTATTTTTTTAAATATACGGGTAGACACCCATTTTTACTACTGCATAAACAAAAAACGTATTTTATATTGAATAGCGGAGAATCGGAAAATTAGGTAATTAATTTATAAAGACCTGTCACAAGGTTTTTATCATTGACTGCACGTATATCTTATCGCTGTTGTTGATAACGAATTGAAATATTTTGATATTTTTTTAGGTCGTCTCACAAGTTCGTGCCGCGAATACGTTTACACATTTTCTGACAACTTGTTTATTTTGCTTATTCTTATTATTTCTTTTATACTTTTTCATTATTAAATTGTGTTGAAGATCAAGCACATCTGAAGAGTTTCATCATCCCAGAATTATCTGTCCTCAAACATTTGAAAAAAAAAGAAAAAATGGAAACAGCAAACGACGCGAACTTATTGCGAGACGATCTAATAGAAAACTCGTACTTCATCCTTCGTTATCGGGTGATAATCGAGTTTCCTCGACATGCGCCGCGTTCCGCGGTTTCCGACCGCAGTTGTCACACGAGGCGACAGGTGCGCTAATCGTGGCTCGCGATTGTCTGTTGCAGGGAAGATGCGGCGCTGCAGCTGGAGCTGAAACCGCCTCGCAGACTGCGAAGTTCGGATGGTCCGAAACCACGAGCGGTCACCAACAAGTAAGGAAACACTTCGATAATCGTCTCGCGCGTCTCGTCCTGTTCACCTTGCTGTAGCGAACCGAAAAATTCGGGAAGACCGACAAAGCCGGAATAAAAAGTCCGAGAACAAAATTTCCATCGAAAGAGAGAGAGAGAGAGGGAGAGAAAATCCTACAATTGCGTGGGGCACAGGGATAGCGAGAGGAAAAGAGCGCGAGCGAACAAGAGAAAGTAAACAGAGCCGAAGGAAGAACGGCTTGGGAGAAAGAAAAGAGGAACGAGGAGGAAGGAAGAAGAAAGGAGACAATATATAGAAAAGAAACAAGCACAGAGAACGATAGGAAAGTGAAAAGAAAAGAAACGAAAAGAAAAGAAACAGGGAACAGAAATAGAGAAATCGTGAGAGGGCGATCTTCTTCGCGCGGGGATCGCTGATCGCGAGAAAATGGCATCAAGCTTCATGCCCTGCTTGTCGATGAATTACCTGCTGAATGCTGTGTTCCTCGCGTTCCTCGTCGTTCTACAAAGTAACGCTAGTGCGGACAAGAGCCACGCGAAATCGCCCCCCTGTTTGAGGTAAGTACCATGAACACATCAAACATTCCTGCGAAAACACGGCACCTCGGTTCGCGGCGTCTCGTCTCGTTTGGTTTCGTTTCGTTTCGTTTGGTTCTCGATCGAATTAAAACGCCGGCGTGCGATCGTGCCAGAAAAAAACTCACCAGCAACCAAATTATTATCTAAGCCAGCATAATAATCGATGATCCACGCGTTTATTGCGCGCGACACGGCGCTCCGAATTGCCATACGCTTATCAGCAAGCCGCGGATTTTATGCATTTACAACAGAAATGGATAAACAGAATACAGAACAAGAGGGGGAATTTATAAATACCGCGGCATCGCTTTCACCGTACAGAGTAAATTCTCTCAAATTGTTCCTCTCAGCTTCGAAATAAAAATTGACAACGCTTTGGAAGAGGGGATGCGATTAATTCGAGCATTGCGGCTCGCTTTTATGGTCGCCGATTGTCGACGACTATGAAAACGAGACTCGAGTAATCGTGTCGCCTATTCCCAGGTTGTCCATTTTTGTTTCCGAACCGAGGGTCTGCAGTAATTTCTCCCGAATTCGCGCCGAGATCGCGCACAAAAGTGGACAATTTGGGTGGAATAATCGTATCTCCTCTTCCCAGAATGTCCATTTTTGCGCGCGAATTCGAGAGAAATGACTGCATTTGGGAGAATTCGCTGTACAATTTTAGCTTCCGTTCAATCTAAGAGATGACGAAAATTCGTATTTTTTTGCACGAAGATCCAGACAGTTTCCAGCACGGACTCCGAATGCATCGCGGTCGCGGTTCATTGCAACGGAAATTGCAAGAACGCGACCGCGATAATAGCCATCGCCATTGTTCGTCTCGCAGCTCGTACTTCTTTTCCACCTGTGCTCCACGGCGCGGCATGTCCTCCGGTTGCTTCCTCCCTCGGCTGTCGCAGGGTCGAGGACATAATCGAGGACATGGTCGGGGACAGGGCGATTTACAACCGCGATCGGAGCCGCGCGGATCTACCGTGGATCGCATGGATCGCTACGAAACGGGCAACGTCGCGCGCGCCAGGATCGCTCGATCTTGTCCGCGGCGAGCCGGCGAGCGTTGCGCAATCGAATGACTCGCGGAACGAAACGATTAGACTGTAAAACGTTGCGATCGCTTTGATCGTACGCGGCTACCAACCGAAACAAATTCAGATGCCATCGAGATCCCCTTGAAGAAACGTCCTCTGTATCGTGCCTGTCGTTCGCCTCGACGAAAGGCGAAGGATATTGTCCTCTTCGATTCGATGTCGTAAATCGCCGTTATCGGTTTTTACTGCCGCCCCATTCGGGATTTTACGAGATCGTTCGAGCGTCGACTCTAATTCTCAATTAAAGCAAATTGCAAGTGTTTATTTCTTAAGGAGAGATACTACCTTGATAGTAGTACTATAAGAAATAGGTCGAATTTGAGAATATTATTTATTGATAATTATTAAATAAAAGATGTAGTTTTTCTAGGGAGGTATAGGGTAGGTGTGGGTATTACTGCGGACGGCCCAAATACTCTGCGGTATTTTATAAAAGTAATAAAATCTAATATTTTATGCTGTGTAATCTTTTAAAAATGAATCTCGTAATATTTTACATGTTTAATATTGATAATTCATGACATTCGAGTAACAGCAATCTCAGGTTTAATTCATTTATTGACTTTTGATATTCGGAAGCTTGTGAAAACGTCGAGTTAATGCTTTAAATGCTTGCAAAAAATTAAATAATCGACATATCAACGAAATCGTGCGCTACATTATGACATGCTTCGTGCAAAATATCTCCGTAAAATTTATAGCGAATCAAATGTATAGTTCCGGAGATTTCGTGACCACCAGACCGACCAGATTGAAAAACGTAATTTCTTTTGTTGTTATCTTAAAAGACGACTTTCCTCTCTGATAAAGTAAAATTTTCGAAACTTCGGCTTCAGTCGCCAAATGCTCGAATTTGAAAATATCGCTTTGACCCAACATTCTTGGGTTTCGCGAAACTTCACAAAAATCGAACGGAAAAAGTCGACTTCTTTTAACCTTTAGAGTGGCGTTCTCATTTAACACTAGATTTACGGAAGCCGTCAAAACGACGAGTCACTGATTTTTTAATTTACGATTATTCATATCGTAAATATACATTTATTTATTCAATTTATATGTTACAGCAAATGTTACAATAACACTTGTTAAAAATCAGAATAAATGTCTTATCGTTACTTTCATAAACCAATATAAAACAGCTGTTTTTTATGCTCCTTAAATCTAGTGTTAACGCGTCCCCATAGAGTACCATCGGTTATGAATGGGATTCTTCGGCCTCGCGTTTATCGTCGTCTCCGCACACGCATCAAAAAATTAGAAAAATAAAAGTTGCGCAACAAAATTCACACGATAGCGTGGTTTACCGCGTGTCCGTAACCTTTCGAAATGACCGCAACTTCTGCGTTATCGTCGCGACCGTGACGCCGTGATCTCGTAAATACGTAGGTAGGAAGTTCGCCCCAATTTCGCAGAAGGCAAGGCGGAAAGCCGCGTCGCGTATTTAGAAGAACGACCAATTGTTAACGTGCTCGGGCTTGAGCAACGACGCGCACGAGATGCCACGTGAGGTTGGGAACCGACGAGTCTCGAGCAGCTGATCGCCGGCTCGCGAGCGCGCGCGCGCGTGTGCGTCACGGGACGCGAAAGAGGATCACATCGTAGCGATGCAAAAATAGTCGACGACCCCCTCGGAAGCAATTCGTCTCCGCGAAGTTTGTTCCGGCCGTGAATAGATCGCCGATATCTCGTCGACCCTCGGCGAGCTTTTTTCCCACCGACGCGCGATCCTCTGAATCATCGATCGTCGAGTTCATTATCGCGATTAGCAACGATCACAGGGAACACTTAATTAACCGAACTGAAAAGCCAGTCTTTCGTACGACGATGACAGAGCTGATCGATTAGGTGACGAAACGAATTGTTCTTCGAAGAATTTTCTGCAACAGAAAACAGCGAGAAGAATTCACGATGATTGTTGATCGGACTTATTGCTTCCCGCATTTACGATCTCTCGTCGTGCTCTCTTCCGTCGATAATTCTCGCGAGGATTGTTGCTTTTGATCGCTCGGGCATCTTTATTGGACCGTTCGCTCCGCGTTTATTGTTTCGCGGAACCGCGCGCGGACACCGCGAAGCGGCAATAAAATAGTTTCGTTCTTGCCCGACGTCGCGACGTTCCGCGTGGGCGAGCAACAGTGCGGCAGCGAATCGCCAAAGGAATCTTTTATCTTCGCCGTTTCGCCGTTGCCAATTTATTTAATGGGACACAACACCTGAAGGGAACCGTTCGATCGCGAAATCGCCGGAAGCTTCGGTCGCATATGGTAGTGGCCTCGCAACCGAGTCAAAGAAATGGCCTTAGCAGTGAACTACAAAACGTTGCACGCGTTGCTCGCCGGTCTTGCAAATTAACGTGTTCCGCAAGTACGATGAACGTGACCTTTGCGCGACAAGAGACGAAAGACGTGAGACAAGAGAGAGAGAGAGAGAGAGAGAGAGAGAGAGAGAGAGAGAGAGAGAGGGCGAGAGAGAAGAAGAACACGATCGGATCCGAACACGCGTCGAGCTATCGCGATCCAAGGAATGACGCGATAACGAGCATTGCCCGACCGCGCGCGTTCTCTTATCTCCGCGCATTGCAAATAAAAGCCGTGAGCAAACACGAAATAGGGTAACGCAGCCGTCGCACAGAGGATTATCTTCTAGCGGTGCGTTACCGCTTCTCTAAATTCAAAGTCGTTCTAACGCGAAGGACAGAAGCCGACGAAGAAGTTGGTCGCGAACGTTGCAACCAATGTTCTACGAGCGATGGCTTTCGGCGGATTAAAGTACGGTAGAACCTCGGTTAACCGAACTACGTCTTCCTCGATTTTTATTAGATTTATTATTGATTATTATTATTATTTTATTTAGATTTTACATTTTTTTTATTGGGATTTTATTTAGATTTTTGATTGTTCCACGTAATAACGATGGAACTACAGAAGGATCTTGATTAGACCTCGATTTATTATCTTTAATTTAATTTAATTTGTTCATATGTATAGGTAAAAACTCATTTTTACAGTACAGAATTAAATGCTAATATTAATGCAATACAGAATCGGCGAATTAATAATTTATCGAAAATAAAAAGAGATGAAAGAGAAAGGGTAATAACCCATTTTTACAATACAGAACTAAAAGTTAATATTAATGCAGTACAAAATCCGTGAATTAGTAATTTCTCGAAAATAAAAAGAAATTATGTGTCCATTTCAAATTCGGATAATCCAAGTTCTATCGTATTCCAAAATACGATTTCATGCTCTGCGGGGAGATCTTCGCTGTGAACGAAAATCCACGCGGATAGACAGATACAATAATGTCTCCCTTACTGACGCTCAGATTGTGCACAAGAATGGACAATTTGGGAAGAGGAGACACGATTATTCGAGCCTTGCAGCTCGTTTTTATAATCGTCGACAATTCGTGACTACAAAAATAAACCGCAAAGCTCGAATAATTGCATCTCCTCTTCCCAAATTGTCCATTTTCCTGCGCAAATAGGCACAGAAAAATCAGCGTCAATAAGGGAGACATTACTGTAACGTCCAGACGCGAGATTATTTCGCGCGCAAAGCCGCGACGAAGTCTCCTCTTTCGATTCTTCTTCGCTCGATCGCATACCAAGTAGAGTCCTCGTTGGAATAACCTGCTGTCGAAAGTAAACAGCCGTACGTATAGTTTCAGAGCGATAATGTTTGATTGACGACACGCTAGACCCGCGCGAAAGATACGTCGGCGTTTTTTTTTTATTATCAGCGATGAGAAATTAACGCGAAACTTCGCAGACGCTCGTCTCCGCCTCGCCGAGAAAACAAAAAAAACGATGTAGCCTAACGAGCTACAAATTGGATAGACGCGACGCGATTCTCATTAGCGTTATCAGAAAAGCGACGTTGGGTTCCCCGCCGAGCGGATAATTGATCGTCTCGTCTTATCCCGTATTTCGTCCCGTCCCGCGCGTCAGATGCAATCCGGCCCGGGATTATCGGCGGCAATTAAACTTCGATTGACCCTGAATCGCGTTATCAGTTGCGAACGAAGCCGTGCGTACGATCGCGGGTGTCGGCGCCACGCATTGGCCGTATCGTTCCGAAAAATTTGGACGAACATCATTACGGCTTGGAAAGCTTGCTTATTAACAGGTAACAAAACGAAACGTCTTCGCGAACGCGGCTATCGTTTCTTAACGAGATAACGTTATTACCGATCAGCACTTTCGTTTTAATTGCTGAACCGATCAGGCTCGTTATTGGAGTGCCTGCGGCTTTCGAGCAATAGAAGCAAGAAATTCGCATAAATTCGCACGAATTCGCGGCTATTCTTGGATTTTGCGATTGCAGTGATAAGTAAAAAGAATTCATTCTGACAGGTTCCAAAGTAGTTATATTCCGATACTCAAATCATGGGCCATGCTACGAACTTCATCTATTCAAATAATTTTTCTATTATTATAGAATAATATTACAGAAAAATATATCTAATACTTTGAAGCGATATTTTCAGTTTTTAAACAATTAGGAGCATGCTCATTTTGACGGAAGGGAAAGAACGGTTATCAAAATTTAACTAATCTAGGATTACTTCAATTTTTTGTCAGTTATCGGTAAAAATAAACGTATAAAATCTATCAGTTATGCACGTTGGACGATTATAAATCAAACTACAGTAAATTCTCCCTAATTGATACTCAGATTATAAACAAAAATGGACAATTTAGGAAGAGAAGATACGATTATTTCAGTCTTTTTACTATGAAAACGAGCCGCAAGGTGCTCAAATAATCGTATTCAGTTTCGACTGAATCTAAAGCTAAATCGCAAGTTCCGGCTGAATCTGAAGCTAAGACGTTAGTTTCGACCGAGTTCAAGGCTAAATCGCAAGTTCCGGCTGAATCTGAAGCTAAATCATAAGTTTCGGCTGAATCCAACGTCAATTATGGAGAATTTACTGTATTAAGTTGGTCAAAAAGTTCGCGCGATTCTTTAACAAATGAAAGAAGAGACTAACATTATTAAGAATCGCGCAAACTTTTTAGCCGACCCGATAGATGAGAATTCTCCGCTTATAAAATAATTTTATTTTTCCCATTTTTTTTATTTTAGTCCCATTTTAATCCCATTTTCTAAGAACAATATCGACCATCATGCACCGTTGCTCTCCCAAGAAACGATCTTGTTTATCCCACGAGTGAAAAATTAATCGAGTAAACGATGCGTTCTTTCGATCGGCATTTTATCGTCGTCGTGTCTCCTCTTTGTTCCGTTCGCGTTCGTTTCCTCTTTCTCGTACAGATCGTTTTAAGACGCGACGCGACGACGCAGCGAGACCGGCGCTGTAATGGATATCTAGATTGCTCGCGACAAATATTAGGCTGATTAAGGGGACACCGAGCGCGTTCGACACGGTGTCGCGACAAGATTCCACCGTGCATTTAAATGTACCCACGTTTCGCGACGTTTGTCTTCTTCGGAGCCGGTTTCGAAGGATTTCCAAAGAATTCCGGTGACGTCGAATTTCTCGCGGAACTCGAAAACAGTTCTCGCCGATTACGAATTCCGTGAACGTTAATCGCTGGCGTTCGAGGAATTCTTGACCCTTAGCTGGCACGATGATTTTCAGAAAAATATCTGGTACCCGATCGGGGTCACGATTGACCCTGGATAAAGAGTGCTATAAAGACGTGTTAATTTCGCTCGAGATAAACCGTCCATTGTGTTTTAATCTTCGGTAGAATCTAGAAATTGTACTTTTAAATTATTAAAAATTATACAAAAATTATACAGTTATACAGAAATTATAAAAAAATTATTCATTTATACAAAAACTATTCGATTATACAAAAATTAAACCCTCAGGTCGGCGTCTTTCAGAAATGGAATTGGAAGACACGCGTTTGCTAAATTTCAGAGCGACGCAGAACTTTCGTTTTTTTCCTTGCGGAACGTGCAATCGGTGAAACTCCGTAGCTCCGATCGCGGTACACGCAACGGAATCGACATAGAAATCTTTCCGAATTATTCGCCGGCGATCCTAAAGTTTTCGAAGACAGCCGAACGACACGAGACGCCCTGTAAAACATTCTGTTCACGCAACAAGGTGGCCAGAACCGTCCGAAACGCAAATCGTTTAGATCTTAGATAAGTCGTGGATACGGCATTTGCGTCGATATCGACGGAGGTCGACGTAGATCTTGCGCTTCCGCCGAAAATGCGCTGATAAGGCCGCGGAATTTTATACTTTACATATTTCTAACTAACGTCAATAATTTCGCGATATCTCGACATTGACAAATTTGCGCGAAGAGTCGTCGTTCACCGACGCGCGGTGATAAAATTGCTATTTCTAGATGGACGAAAATAAATTTTCTTAATGTTTCTCGATTACTCGTAATCTCTGCGAACTACAGAGATCAAAGAAATCCATTGTCGAAACGAAGGAGCATTTAAAACTGGTATTTATTCGATCTGTTAGATCGTGTAACGAGTCCGTTCGCGTTTTCTTGTAAGAAAATATAATACCGCGCAGTCGTCGACGCGAACGGACTTATTATATAATTTCAGCCTAATCTACCCTGTCTTAAAGTAGACACTTCCAGCTTTCATTTAAGCTAAGTTGCATAGAAATAGCTTTACGGGGACGTATCTTAAACTCCGTCTGAACTTTTCCTTTCAAATCTTGCGAACTCCATAAGGTCAGAGATCGCATTCATTCAATTTTATCAAAACGATCTCGTCGTTCTATCGCAATCTGATCGATCCTATCTTAAAATAGACGCTTCCAGCTTTAATTCGAGCTAAATTGCATGGAAATAGTCGCGCGAGAACGTGTCTCAATATTCATTCGAACCATCGCTTCGAATTCGTGCAATTTTCCTTGTCTGTTTTTCCTTGTCAGAGGTCTGCGAACGGACTCGTTATACAACCTAATGTATTCTATTTGTTACCGTAATGCAAACGAATATATACATATATAAAATACTTTATATTAATATCGCATTCGCTTACCTTCCATGATGCCATACAAATCGCAAACAATTCTTAAATAAATAGATTACAATAATGCTTTTGCAAGAACACACGTCGGATACGTGTGAAACAATAAACGCATCGAGTTTATCTATTTCGTCATCATCAGAAAGCAGGAACGAATAAAACGAGATAACTTAGATAACTTAGAACCATGGATTTTCGTAGCAAAGAATTTTCGAAAATTCCGATTGGGACGTTCGAGAAATGCAACAACATTCGTCCATCTCGGGCCAGCATTTTTCCCACTCGTGCGACGATCGAGGAAAAAAAAGTCGCTCGGCTCGCGGAGTCGACCGCGAACTCGCGTTATCGGCGGCCGCGCGTTCTCATAATCAGGCGAACGCGCGGCACGTCGCCGCGTCGAAATTAATGATCCGCGTATCGACGCGGCCGTGGAAACAGTCGATTCGCCGTGTCGATACGCCACGCGAGCCGCTCGGCCGTCAAGGCCGGCTGTTCGCGACTCGGCGATCCTCGATCCTCGATTCCTCGCGTGTCCGCGCGAGGATTCCGCCGCGATCGGAAACGGTCGCTGAAACGCGAGCTTGATTTTTTGCGGGACAAGAATCGAACCCGTTTGGGCTCCGAGTGAACACTCGGTCGAACGACCGCGAGGGCGTCTTGGAGGCTAAACGGCGGCGAGAGGGGAAGAGGAGATCGCAGGATAGAGAATCGATGAATAGAGAGAAAGAGAGAGAGACCGTAGAGATCGTGTGTGTGTGCGTTTGCAGCGACATTTACTGCCATGGCGAGCTCCTGCACACGATACAGATGGCGTCCATCTACAAGGACTCGAAGACGTTCGTGGACATGAAGATGAAACAGTCGCCCAACCAGACCCTGGCGTTGTTCCACGAGTTCATGGAGCAGGTGGATCAGATGCCGACCAGACGGCAGATCGAGCAGTTCGTGAATCGAACGTTCGACCCGGCCGGGTCGGAGTTCGAGGAGTGGGACCCGGCGGACTGGACCGGCCGGCCGAGCTTCCTCAACAAGATCCACGACGAGGACCTGCGGAAGTTCGCCTCCGATCTGAATCACATCTGGAAGATGCTCGGTCGGAAGATGAAGGACGACGTGAGAGTAAACTCGGACCACTATTCGATCCTGTACGTGCCGAACCCGGTGATCGTGCCCGGCGGCAGGTTCCGGGAGTTCTATTACTGGGACTCCTACTGGATCGTGAAGGGGCTGCTCCTGTCGGAGATGTACACCACCGTGAGGGGGATGCTGACGAACTTCGTCTCGATCGTCGACAGGATCGGGCTCATACCGAACGGCGGGCGCATCTACTACGTCATGAGATCCCATCCGCCGCTTCTGTTGCCCATGGTCGAGCAGTACCTGAAGGTCACCGGCGACTACAAATGGCTCGAGGAGAACTTCCCCATTCTCGAGAAGGAGTTTCACTTCTGGATGGTCAATCGGACGGTCGAGGTCGAGATGGACGGCACCAAGTACACCCTGGCCAGGTACTTCGAGGAGTCCGCGGGCCCGCGGCCGGAGTCCTACAAGTAAGAACCTCTTTCGACATTCTTTTCGGCAAGACGCGTCTCCGTTCCGCCGCGATTCGATCGTTTAACGACCAGACGGTTTTCTCTCATCCAGAGAGGATTATCTGACCAGCCAAAGCTTCCGCACCACCGAGGAGAAAGAGAATTACTACTCGGAGCTGAAGACCGCCGCCGAATCCGGCTGGGACTTCTCCACGCGTTGGTTCATACTCGACGGCACGAACAAAGGTAACGGACCGCTCGTGTTCCTCGACCGAGGCCCCTTTTCAACTAGATGGTTGCGATTTCGCGTTTACTTAACCGTTTGCGTACCAGATGGTTCTGAAAAAACAGGATCGAAAAGCGCCGAAGAGCGCAATAGCGCTCCTTCGATCATGTGTCGAAAAAAGCCGTAAAACATAAAATAAAACGTTACGAATGAAAATATATATACTATTAATTTAGAATAGGTAACAACAAAATGCAAATTGGATTACTGACAGCGATGCGACGCGCGACGTGTACATGCGTCTGAAAGACTGAGCACGTTTCGACAAATTTCGGGTGGGCCGTAAGTCGTCTGTTTCGGCCAAATGCCCTGGCTTTTCTCGACACAAAATCTGAAGAGCGCAAAAGTGACTCGTGGTACGCGAACGGTTAAATACACGTGTACCAGGGTGACTTATTTCGCGGGCATTGAAACGCGCGTGCAGCATCTCGCGCGGGCTTGGTTACACGTACATTAACACGTTTTTATGTCGGTTCGTGTAGTTTGCAGGATATCGGTGTTAATGTATGGTTCGTTTTGTAGGATAGCGTTAATTTATGGTTCGAGAGTATGGCTTTTATTGGGATAATATTTTTTAACGTGTAATATATGTTTTCAGCACAAATGAGCATAATGTTTTCTTAACATTTAATATATTAACGTGATTTATTTGGATATGTCTCGTGTGCTTTTAACTGATTAATATAATGTTATTTTATTAATTTGCATTCGAAGAACGAGTGTGCGACATCGTTGAGTGTAAACTGTCGTTTTTCAAATTTATTTTTCCGTATTAATATCGATATGCTGAATATTATAAATATGTATTATAAATTTTCTAAATTAATATCGATATTCTAAGTATTCTAAATATTATATTATAAATTTTCCAAATTGATATCGATATTCTGAATATTATTTTATAAATTTTCCAAATTAATATCGATATTCTAAATATTATATTATAAATTTTCCAAATTGATATCGATATTCTGAATATTATTTTATAAATTTTCCAAATTAATATCGATATTCTAAATATTATATTATAAATTTTCCAAATTGATATCGATATTCTGAATATTATATTATAAATTTTCCAAATTAATATCGATATTCTAAATATTATATTATAAATTTTCCAAATTGATATCGATATTCTGAATATTATTTTATAAATTTTCCAAATTAATATCGATATTCTAAATATTATATTATAAATTTTCCAAATTGATATCGATATTCTGAATATTATTTTATAAATTTTCCAAATTAATATCGATATTCTAAATATTATATTATAAATTTTCCAAATTGGTATCGATATTCTGAATATTATTTTATAAATTTTCCAAATTAATATCGATATTCTAAATATTATATTATAAATTTTCCAAATTGATATCGATATTCTGAATATTATTTTATAAATTTTCCAAATTAATATCGATATTCTAAATATTATATTATAAATTTTCCAAATTGATATCGATATTCTGAATATTATTTTATAAATTTTCCAAATTAATATCGATATTCTAAATATTGCAAATATATATTATAAATGTTGCAAATCAATATCGATATTCTAATAATTACATTAATTTGAACGAAAATGTATAAATGTACGCGTAACGAAATACGGGCAAAATAATTCGCGGGTACACGTGAAAAAGTTCGAAACCGCGATCTCTACCACCAACCCTCTGCCCCGTCCCTTTCCGGATCTCGATCAGATTTCTTTCGACCACAATTTGTCTTCTCCCTCGCTTCCCGAAAGCACCGTTTTGAAACAAAGCGCCGGGCACGCCTCGAGAAACCGTGTCGGTAATTATCGAGCCCCGCGTTCCGTATTGTCCGAGGTATCTCGCGGGAGATATCACGATCGACGGCTCGTTCAAGGCCCGCGTCCGTCCCGTTTTCCAGGTGAAAGCGACGACGGTTCGCGGTTCGACGGTTCCGCGCTCGCGGCTAAAGACTTTTGCGCGCGAAAATTGAAACGATGCGTTAAAACAGCCGCCTGCAGTAAATTCTCTCAAATAGTCCCTCGGCTTGGAATCGAATAATGAACGGCTCGGAAAGACCGGACACTATTCTTCGAGCCTCGCGGCTCGCCTTCGTAGCCGCCGACATCTCGTGAGAAAAGGGAGACGGAACAAAAATCGGGGGCGGTCGCGGCGAACTTGAAAGCCAACAAAGACCGGCATTTTCGCTAACAAATTTTCGTCAACGTATTGGTGAGATTGCTCCAATTAAAATGCGACCGAACACGACGCGCTTCGGACCGTATTCATTCGATTACGTCGCGATCGATTTGATTTTATGCGATCGGAAACATCCGTCCGAACTGTATCACGTTCGATCTCATTCTAATCGGAGAACTATCAGCAATATGTCAAAAAACAGAATTCACTTTTGAAACGTTGAGATCGAAAAAAAAGAAGAAGTTCCGTTATCGTATTACGAGTCGTCGTTCCAGGCATTCCAGTCAAAAGGAGCCGCGTGTCGCGTGCCGCATCGTACGCTTGACCGACACCGACGAACCTTAGCATAGGCGCAGGAATAGCACGGGGACAATGCGGGAGAATTTACTGTACCTTCTACCAGAACTGCGGCCGTCTGGCATCGGAGACGAACCGACGGACAGACGGACCCGGCGAACGCGAAGCAAAGCGGTCGAGACTCTATAGAGCTGTTCTCTAGGTAACCTGACGAACTTGAAAACGAGATCCATTATCCCCGTCGATCTGAACGCGATTATCTATGGAAACGCGCAGCTGCTGGCGCAGTACAGCCAGAGGCTCGGCAACGAGACGAAGGCGGCGTACTACAGGAAGATCGCGGACGATTGGAAGAGGGCGGTGACGGCCGTGCTGTGGCACGACGAAGTCGGCGCCTGGCTCGACTACGACATGCTGAACGACATCAAGAGGGACTACTTCTATCCGACGAACATCCTGCCGCTCTGGACCAACTGCTTCGACCTCAGGAGACGGGAGGAGTACGTGGCGAAGGTGCTCAAGTATTTGGAGAAGAATCAGATCATGCTGAACCTGGGCGGCATACCGACCACGTTCGAGCATTCCGGTGAACAGTGGGACTACCCGAACGCCTGGCCCCCGCTACAATACTTCGTCGTCATGTCGTTGGACAACACCGGGGATCCGTGGGCGCAGAGACTCGCCTACGAGATCAGCCAGCGATGGGTCCGCAGCAATTACAAGGCGTTCAACGAGACGCACAGCATGTTCGAGAAGGTAACTATCATCCCCTGGCACGCGGACACGGTGCACGCGCAATTACTCGATCGAACATTGGGGACTTCCGTGGATCATGGAGGACCATAGAAGACCCTAAATGACCGCAGAGAGCCGTGCGAATTTCTCCAAGAGCACCGAATCCAGCGCCGACGCGTGGACGCCTCGAACTCCGAACGCGTTCAATTCTCCTGAGTCGACGAATTGTACGGAAAAATGGACGGTTTGGGAAGAGGAGAGGATTATTCGTGATTATTTATACGATTTATTTATATTTATTGTTATCGAGTGCCAACAACTGGGCTCCTCTCCCCAAATTGTCCACAATCTGAGCGTCAATTAGGGAGAATTTATTGCATTGTAATCTGTGCTTCGAAATCACGAGTTTTTATTTATTTATTTATTTATACTGGCGCAAAACCATTAGCACACACTACAGGATGTCCCAAAAATATCTCGCAATCCGGAAATGGGGGGTTCCTCAGGACATTTGAAGCAACTTTTTCCTTTACAACAATTTTTTCCGAGGCATCGTTTACGAGTTATTGAGGAAAAACAGTATGACCAATGAGAGGCGAGATCAGTTGGCACGTGACGGCCGAGCCAATGGGCGGAACTGGGCTTCGTGCGCTCGTTGGCTCGGCCGCCTCGCGCCAGTCGAGCTCGCCTCTCATTGGTCACTGTTTTTCGTTAATAACTCGTAAACGAAGCAGCGGATTGCATTCTCGCTAAGGAAAAAGTTGCTTCGAACGACCTCAGCAACCCCTCACTTCCGGATTCAAAGACATTTTTGGGACATCCTGTATTGAAAGTCATACTGTCCAGTTGCGACAAAGAACAGAGTCTGCAGGAAGAGACAAGAACGTGGTAGAACTATAAAATTGCACGTGCTCGAGCATCTCGCGTAATCCGCTGTTAAGTTCGAGGCACGCACAGTCGACGCAACTGAGATTTTGGGGAAATTCGACGGAGAATTTCGACGGAGAACGAACGAACGGTTCCGGTTTCGGCCGACAGTACGACGCGACGGTGTCGGGCGGTCACGGAGGCGGAGGAGAATACGAAGTCCAGCTGGGCTTCGGCTGGTCGAACGGGGTCGTGATGGACTTGCTGGACAAGTACGGCGACCGGATGACCGCCGAGGATCATTTCGAGCCGTTGGACATGGTGGAGAACGCGGCGTCGCAACCGGCGGCGGTGGTCTCGACGGCCGGTCAGGTGATGACCGGCATCCTCGCGCTGATAATATCGCTGGCCGCAGGATTCATAGGGTGAGGTGAGTATCTCGATAGTCGAGGTCCCTTCTACGGGGACCGGTGACTCGTACAATGTACAGCAATTTCTCCCTAATTGCTCACAAAAATGAATAATTTGGGAAGAAGCGGTAGGAGCCTTGCGACTACTTTTCATAGTTACCGATTGCCAACAACTATAAAAAGAGACGCAAGGCTCGAATAATTGTACCTTCTCTTCCCAAAAAAGTCCATTTTTCTGCGCAAACTGAGCCCGAATTAACCAGTTAACCGTGGCGATCTCTTTGCAAAGCGGCCACCAGTGTGCGTCGCGATAATCAAGCGATGAATGAAACGATCAAGCGACGAATCCAACTCAAATTATTTATAATTTTCATTTGTTCGCTTCATTTCGTCTTGATCTCTAAACACTTTAAACATATTAAAATTTACGAATATAATTTAGTTTTCGCCAGAATTACAATTTGACCCTTTTAGTGAAAAAAAGGTGCCTATGCGAGAATAACCGGCCGAATTTCACGGTTTTACTAGGGTTTGGGAAAATGCTCATAAAGACCAAACAAGAAACAATATTTACATGATTCAAAAAGCAGTAAATTAAGGACGAAATAGAGAACAAAACAATGACGCTAGATTTTCTATATTCATTGAAAATTATATAAATAACAAAGGTATAAAAGATCGTAAAGAAAGTAAAAGTCCAGTTCTCTCTTACAAAACGTATTTGCACATACAAAAAGTCATCTTTTCATCATAATTTTATATAGATCATTTATTACAAAGTATATACTTTGCATTTCTGATATATTTTGTAACAAGATAAATAATACTACATAACAAACATAAAAAATAACTCGAAGGTACATGGTAAGCGCCGGACGGATTATCTGTTCCGAAATATGTAATTGTTATAGGTAATATAACATTGCTGAAACAAAATTATGTTGTCATAAATATATTTGTGATATAATTTTGCATAATACTTCATTATAATAACATAAATATTTACATTTATATATTGTAAATGTGTAAAATTTTGTTATTATAAAGCGCTATAAGACGCGGGCCGATATATCGGCTCCGGCACTTCTCGCCAGTGCAGCAAGAGCCGATATATCGGCCTCCGGCACTAAAAGGGTTAAATATCAAATTGTAACAAAATTTTACCACATCTCCATGACGGATATAGTCGTCGAACACGCTTAACTGGTCAAGGAGAAATTACTGTATTTCCACGTATCCGAGAATCGCGGAGATTTCGACACGAAGTAATCCGTACTCTTCCTCACCTTTCTGTTTCAGATATCCTTCTTCTGGTCGTATACGTCTAGGGGGACACCTTCGCGAAAGCAAATCGTTTTATCGGTAGAGAGCCGCGTTCACGGCGCGATCTTACAGCCTTTTTGCTTTCGCTTAGCTCGGCGGCGGTCGTAAGTTTCCACGGCGAAACGGTGGACCAAACGCGAAAGCAAGTGCAGGCACTGGCAACTCGTGATTTTACTCTTTGTTAGCTAGTTTTAAATCGGCGGTCCGGGGCGGATCTTGTTTCTCCTCTTCCTTTCCGGCGGCCTCGCTCCGGAGCTGCGACGCCGAGCTATACGGGGTTTGGACGACGGAACGGAGGAACGAAGCTCGTTGAAGGTCGAAGGTCGTCGACCGTTACCGGGAACAAGGTCGGAGCCGGCTCCGTTGGCCGTCGAGCTCGTTTCGACCGTCCAGGGTTGTTCCGCGAGACCGTCGGAAGGTTTTTTTCCAGTAGATTGTTAGGGATTGAGAGACGCGTTCCAATTCCCTCGGACGTTTCCGAGGACTGTCCACGATATTCCGCGTCCACGGGACACGCCCGGTTGTTGTTTTAAGTGTACGCCTCTAATAGTCAGCTGTTAGTCGGTCGCGTCTCTCTCGACGCGTTGCATTCTTGCGATTTAATACCATTACTTAACCATTCCATTGACGCGTGATCCGCCGCGAAGGGTATTCTGTGATTTTTGAGGGACCTCATCGCTGGTCGAGCAACACGTTCCTACGATACCGATTCGAAGTGGACGGAAGCCGGCGACCCAAAGCCTTAGATTCTCGTTCGCATCTCGTACGGTCGAGTGCGATCGTTTGGCCATAATCGTTGTTAGTATTACTAGAGTATAGTCGAACGTGACGAAGCAGTGGAAGGGGGTGAGTAACGAACAGAGACCAGTGGGACTTTATTTTGGCTGGCATTGTCTTGGAGGGAAGGGAGATAGATTGATAGAGAGAGAGAGAGAGAGAGAGAGAGAGAACGAGGCAGAACCGCAACGTTGCACGCTCGTTCGACAGCGCAAAACATCGGACCCAGTGCACTCCAATTGCTATCGGCAGACCGCAGGGCCTTATAAAAACTCGCGTTTTAACGTAAAGATCGATTGAAAGTACAGTAAATTCTCCCTAATTGACGCTCAGCTTGGAAACGAAAATGGACCATTTGGGAAGTGGAGGTTTATTCGAGCCTTGCGGCTAATTTTCATAATTGTTGACAATCGGTGACTATAAAAACGAGCAGCAAGACTGGAATAATCGTATCTCGTCTTCCCAAATTGTCCATTTTTGTGTACAATCCGAGCGTCAATTAGGGAGAATTTACTATACTACCCCTGGCAAAAAGCATTCGAACGCAATGACTTTTCTAAAACTGAACTAAACGATTTGAATTTAAAAAAAATGTTTTTACCGTATCTGCTACTTTAACGCAACATTACGAATGAAATTTTATGGACATATTATTAGCAGACTGCGGATTTTTATGCAAGCTTATGCAACGCAATTCTATTTTTAAGTTCATCGAATGTTTTCACTGTTCTTTTTGCATTCGGTTCGTTAACTCTTGTCATAAGAGTTGTTCTTCGAAACGCTGTTTATCCTTCTTGATCGATAATCGACGTGACTTGATAACGAAACCACCCTCGCCCAGCAAGATAGCCGTTCGTGGTCGGATGCTGCGCCGTCGAGCGGGCGACAGCGTTTAAAAAAAGATAATCGAGACGAGCAGCGAATCTATCTAGTCAGATCTAAACACTAGGATTGTGTTTACATCGCGTTTGAAAGAGCGGTGTACAGAGACCTGAGAACCGCCAAAGTTGCTGCTCCCTCGACGCTTCGACCGCCACGACAGGATCGAACAGCTCGTTTTCGCGGTCGCGCGTGTTCGCATTCTACGGAATGGAATAATAAATTCGATTGGAATCGCTGGAAAGGATCGAGAGACCAATTACCGATCTCGATTTCTCGATTCCCGTTCCGTTGGAGAGATCGCCCGAATTCGACGAGGGTTTCGTCGGCGCCGACGGCTTTCTCCGAGGGAAACGGCTGTACGAGGAAAGTCGTGGAATAGGTCCGACGCGGAGAGAAATTGCAGAAATAATAATTGTTGCGTCGTCGTCGACGTTGTCGTCGGGTGCAACCCCTTGTCCCCGCGTCCTTCGTTAGAGTAAGTCTGCTTGGCCCTCCGAGTTCGATACCTCGTTGCGTATTTATCAAAGTGTACATAGAGAGCCGTCGTTTAGGACCGCAGAAGTCGACTAGCATGATCGATCGTAGACCCCTTCGATATACGTTTAGCACGCCGGTCGTTAATCCTCTCCCGGGACGGCAAGATCTCGATGCCAGGACTTCGATCGCGTCCTTCCTCGACGCGCGCGCTTTTCCCTCCGTTCGTTTGCCCGTCTCTGTGTGCTGACTTTGAAATAAAGTGAATAAACCAGAAATATCTACCCAACCTGATCCACGAACGTCGAGTATCGTTTCGCGACCCGCTCGGATCCCTCGTTCTCGCGCGAAACTTCGTCCTCCGACGAGTCCATCGTAGTCCGCGATTCGCTCCTGCGCGCAACAGCGTCCTCGGGATACGAGGTCCGGGTCGCTTAGGACCCGGCGAGCGAAGGACTCTCTGGACGAGGGCCCAGACTCTCGAGTGACCCCTTCTCGAGCAGAAGGGGTCGCCCTTCACTCGAAGGGCTTTCAGTGGATTCGTAGATGGTGCCGCTTGCACGGCTCCCAAGAACAGGCATTATCTGTCTCATCGCACGATAAACGTGTCGACAGGAATTTTCCAGGCCACGAAAGAGACGGTACGCGTTGTTTCAGGGAAGTATGACGACCAGACTGCGGATCTTCATGCGGAATAAATAGTTGGATGACCGCAGAGGACAGATGCCAGAGATGCGTCGCTTTAATAATTCCTTCGAGATTATCCCTTCGATAATCTCGATGAGTCAAAGATAGCACGTATCGAAGCTCTTTGATTATTTTCAATCGCCCAGAAAATTGTCCCCGCCCGTTTTCTATCATAAACGCATCAAATCCGCAGTCGATGACCGAATGACCGGCGCCTTCTTCCTCGTCTCGTCGCATCCTCAAACTTGCCCGAACAGAAATCGATCCCCTCCTTTCTCCTCCCTCTAGAATAGAGATCGCGACGATCCACTGGACGGACCAGCGATCCATAGAGGCGCCGGGCAGAGACCGGAAACGCGGCGATCTTCGAGCGGCCGCGCGCCGGAGATCCTTGATCGCCGCTCGCCGCGCCGGCGGCGATCGAATCAAATGTTCCGTCGATCGCTCGGAGAGCGTGGATCGCCGAGAGACAGACCTCGTGGAAACAGTGATCTCTCGATCGCGTGAGAGCGAGCGAGCGAGCGAGCGTTCTCGTCGGCCTCGTTTCACGCGACATTCGACACGCAACCTCTGCGCGCTTCCTCCACGATCAATTTGATTCGCACTGGCGAGCGAAAGACGATCGCAGGACACGGTGGCAACGACGCGACGACAGATCAAGGTGGCGAAGCTGGTGGCGCCATCGAAAGCGTGTATCGCGTGGTAGTTTCCTTCTGGACTGGAATGCGGGGCTCGGAGAATTTCGCGACTCTTTTTTTTTGGCAGCGAAATGAAAATAGAAACTGCAAGGTGTTTGTTTTATCTGCGGCGAACGGAACGTCGCGAACCCGCGAATCCTGTATTCTTGAATTTATTTCGAGAAACAGGAGACCGCAGACCTAACTGCACCACGCGATAAGTTTCATGAACGGCGCCGCTGCGACTGCCACCTTATTATGTCGTCGCCTTGGCGTACAATACCAGCCGAAAATTTCGAGTCGCTCCGATAACGCGCTCGCCGGCCCGCGCGTCATTGTTTCCGCGAAATCGACGATCGTGTGGCGATGATTTATTTTATTTATTTTTTTTTTTATCGAATTTATGCAACGTGTTACGATCGGTGCACTTTCGTTCGTGTCGCAGGGTGGCCCGGGATCGTGTCGGTGTTCGAGAGACGAGGCGATCGAAACTTTTGGCCGGCAGTGTACGAACCGCGCGAACACGCGACGGTCGAACAGGCGAATAGGCGAACAGGCCAAGTGGCGAATAGGCGAACACGCGAGCAGGTCCACGCGAATGGGCGTGACAGGAACACGTCGTTCAACCGTTTGACGCAAAATCCCGCGACGCTTATCTCAAGGATGCGCGCTCGTTCCTCGGCGTGATTACGCGTGAGACCCGGCACGTATATGTACTGCGTCGCGGACGATCCTCTTTTCCCGCGGCCGCGATTCCCGGAGGTGTGCACTTTCGAGGCGCGTCGTATTGTTGCACCAGCCGCGAGAACGACGCGCCGCGCCGCGTCGCGCTGTTCGAGGCGCGGGGAGACACGATCGACGATCGCGCTCCCTCCACGATCCGATCGACTCGCTGGTCCGATCGTCGGACGAGAAATTTCCTTGGTTTTCGAACGATAGGCATCGTCCTTGCGATCCCTTCTACGGAAAAGTCGCTTTGTGGTTAGTTATTCATTGGGAAAGAGAAATAATTGTTATTATTATTTATTATTAATTATTGTTTATTATTATTTATTATTAATTATTGTTTATTATTATTTATTATTATTTATTGCCATTCGCGTTGCCCTTTATGTACATTCCATGTACACTCTCCTGTGAAAGTAATATATATAGGACACTCAGAGAAAATTAAATAAATTTGAGAAATCAATAGGAAATTGTTATAATTACTTCAAAGTTATTGTAGTTTATTAATTTTTATACAAAGTTTATTTCAAAGTTAATTGTATGAAATTGTACGTATGAAAGTATATATTATATATTATTAACATAATATCATAATAAAAATAACGTAAATTTTATGAAAGAAAATCTAATTTTCTTTTGTTATAATTACGTGTTTAATTACTTCAGTTTATTTCAAAGTTAATTGTATGAAACTGTAACAAGCACATATATAACACAAAAATATATATGTAAATATATATATATATATATATATTTATATAATTTACGTTAAATAATATGTACATTATATATAAAAAAAATATATATTATATATATTAAATAATTTACGTTATATAATATATAATTATATAACGTAAATTTCGTAAAAGAAACTTAGATTTTCTTTTACGATTTATTACGCATCGTACGAGATGAACTCGGCACAGGTATCCACCGAACAAAGTGCAATAANTATATATATATATATTTATATAATTTACATTAAATAATATGTAAATTATATATAAAAAAAATATATATTATATATATTAAATAATTTACGTTATATAATATATAATTATATAACGTAAATTTCGTAAAAGAAACTTAGATTTTCTTTTACGATTTATTACGCATCGTACGAGATGAACTCGGCACAGGTATCCACCGAACAAAGTGCAATAAATGAGTGAACTAACCGCACAAGTGACAAACATTTCTATCTTAATGTGTACTTTCAACGATACGATGCCATAAAACTTAATGCTAGACGTAAAACATTGCGTAAACTGAATGAGAAATTACAATCTATACCGAATCAGCAGGTATCCTAATACTTTTGGAGGGGCGGTGTACATTATGTATACAGGAAATACGCGCATACATTAAACTACTAGATAGAACGAAGGACAAAATAGGATGTACATTTGAGCCATTTATTTTGAAAGTGGCACAAGTCACTTGACCGTAATGAAAAGTGGTGATTTTTTTAATGTTTATACGAAATTATTTATACTGAGAAAGATATCAGTATCCTGAGGTAACAAATACAAGTAAATCTTCTCGAAAGTTAGCATCCATATTTTTAAACGTGCTCAAACGCAAACCCTCCAATATATCGACTTAAAAACAAAGTGACTTTTTTTTAATGTTTATACGAAATTATTTATACTGATAAAGATATCAGTATCCTGAGGTAACAAATACAAGTAAATCTTCTCGAAAGTTAGCATCCATATTTTGAAACGTGTCCAAACGCAAACCATTAAATATATCGACTTAAAAACAAAGTGACTTATGCCACTTTCAAAATAATCGGCTCATTTGTAAAACATTATTCCGCAGTCGATGTTCATTACAGCAGCGAACCAAAGAAAAGAAAAATCGTTCGTTGTACGTCCACGGTTAGCCTCGAGGTGAATGTTGTGTTTTGAAAGCGGCGTTTAGAAAAAGAAAAAAAAAGGAACAGCTAGAAAACAGAGTTACGGCGAGCAAGAATCGTGTAATAGGAAACGTAGGTGTAACCACTTTTTTTTGTTGCACAGCGTAGGTAATCGCTTAATGGGCTTCAAGCCTGTGCGGCGTGATTAACGAAGCAATCGTGCGATCGACTCGTGTGCATCGGATGGGGGGGGTTACACGGCGAAACATTCGTTAATTTGTTGCGGGGGAGACCATTTTAGCTGGAAACTAGCATCGAAGGCGCGTAAATTTTCGAACCGTTTCCAATCGCTTAATGGATGGCCATTTGATTTCCGCCGAAAGCAGCCGGGCGCTTGTTCGCATCGCTGCCGATTTCAAGACGTTGATCACAAATTGTGGAATACCGGAAACTTTCTCTTATCGCTGCCGATTTCAAGGCGTCGATTACCGCGTCTCAAATAGTGGAATACCGGAAACTTTCTGAAAATTTTCGCGCTTTCCGTGGTTCGTGGATGGACGCTCGAAACAAAATCGACGATCGATCTGACTTTCTTTTCTTCCTGTTTACAGAATGGTGGTGTACAAGAGGCGGCAGTATTACGTCCCAGGGCCGTCGACGATGCCGAACAAGAGAATGGTGATATCGCCTAATAGCAACCTCTACCGAAAGAGGATCGCCTACACCGAGCTGAGGGATATGAACAACGATTGACGATGCTTGTTACCTAGAGGATCGATTCGTTGACCGACTGAACAATCAAGCACAACCGGGAGAAAAAATGCTAGGGCAATGAACACACCGCGGGGAGAAGAAGAAGAAGAAGACGAAGATGAAGAAGAAGTTGATCGAGGCGTAATCGAGATCGAGTTCGAGCAAAAGATGTAGAAGGTGACAAACAGGTGACTGTGTTCCTCTCGATATTCACGCGACCGAAGGTTAGAAGGCTTCTAGACGGAGTGCTCCCTTCGATTCGCCGATCCTCGTCGTGAACACTTGAAGGAGGTCGAGGATCTGTCCTATGGTTTCGAGAAGACTGCAGGGGGAGAACCGCTACATAATGGTCATCCGAAAAATTCTAGAGCGTAGCTAATTGATTTCTTTCATTTCGACCGGAAACTTGACGCACAAAAGCATGTGAACACTTAAGTAATACGGGGTTGTCGATATTGTGACGATTAAAGATGATGTCCATTAGTAGGGGAACCCCTAATCGATGGTGGGCTCTGTCTCATCTCGTAGCAAGATGCTTGACAGTTAGATCATTCTCCTCGAAACCACGGAGTGGACTGTGCGACGTTGAAACGCGCTCAAAGTTCCTACGCGTCCTCGCGCTCCGCGGATGCATCGATTTTGTCCTTGAGAAAAAACATCAACGAACACGTTGGCATAGCGTGCCACGAGATTCTCTTCGGCGGCCTTTGTCCGCGCGCGTCGCGCGTATCACGAGACAGACTGTTGCTTAACCGATGATCCTGTGAACAGTCACTTTTTTGCTCCGAAACACAGTCTCGTTCTCAAAGAATATACTTATCTCGTGCACGCGCGTTACAATTCTATGAAGAAGAGTAGAAAGGATCGAATCGATGCTCGGCCGGAGCCTGTGCCCGACGCGAAACTCGCGGCTGCGAGGCGAACATAATCACCGGACAATAAAGCTGAAAAGAAAGCGGGGATCGTCGGTGGTTCAGGGGGGCGAATCGGGATCGCGATCAACAAGAAGGCTGCGATCTACGAGCGTGTTCGCTAGACGAGTTTAGACAATTCAAAACACTGTTCGACGCGTATTCGAACTTCTAGAGCCTCGCATAAGCGTTTCCGACGGAATCTCGTGAACCGAGAGAACTCGACAAATCTTGTCGGGAACGCCTACTCGAAGATTTAACGAAGACGGGTGTAAATTCGCCGTACAGTGTGTGATCGAGTCACAACGGTATAGAACAAATTAAGGATGAAAACGTTGTATTTTTGCTGGTATTTTTGTAAGGGAATCCGTTCCACCTACACGCTTAAAATCGTCCTTGACGACAGCAATCCACAGCATGAGTCGCTACCATTTCATCAGTTTTAATTTGCTTCCTCTTTTCATGGTTCCTCCGCGTTATAAGTCGCGCTCGGTATATTTCTCTTTCGAACGTTGGGAAATCGATTTTATTTGCGGAATTTCTGTATAGAATGTTTGGATCGATTCTAAGCAGTTTTAGGGTTTGGCGAATATTTTTAGGATACAGGAATGTTTCGAGGAATTTTTTCTGCATCCATATCACGATGCAAATATTTATTTATTATTGCGAATGTAGAGAAAATTGAATATTTGTTACAGCTGCGAATGGTTATTATTGCAAGAAGAAAATAAGTGTGCAGAGGAAACGGCATCAAATTTGTCAACCTACTGGCAAGACGCTGAAACGTTAATTACGGTGAAATTAAGGTGTAAAAATATAAACCGAAGGCGCAGGATTGTTCGGAACAATCTGCTGCATCAATATTGTGGCAAAAAGCAGATGACAAGACTGTAAAATATAATTAATTGCTTCTCGAAGTTTAATCAACTGTTACATCAATTAATTATGTTTTTCGCTGTTGTCATCTATTATTTTCATATGATATCGACGCAGCAAACTTTTCTGGACAGTTCTGTACCATTGGTTTATTTCTTGGTTGCCTAATTTTCTCATAATTAATGTTTTCATGCTGCCCTGCTTTGTGCACACGTGCGAGATTGTGGCGCCTCTTGTGGACAAAAAGCAAAGCTTACTTCGGAGTCCGTACAGCGCCAATGCACGCAGTGTCAAATCGCTCAAACTCTTGGTCGAAATCGATTGTCGGTAATTTTGGCTAATAGTTCGAGCGTTCTGTCACTACGCTAATTGGCGCTGTACGGACGCCGAAAAGAGCTTCGAGACTTTGCCGCTACGTACAATAGCGCTATTTTTTATATTTTAAGTAATAGACGATTCGTGACGTAATTTATATTTTATATTTATATCATATCTTATAGCAAAAGCGGCAAAAATCACCCGTTCGTTATATTTCCATCCTGTGTATAAATAAACTGCTTTCACGTGATATAGATTTCTGTATCCTCAAATGTTCTTGTAGCCGCTCGCGATTATCACATTTTCGTCGAAGTGATAATAAAGAAGGAAACATAGAAACGTAGCCCAATTATTCGGCATATTTCATCGATTGACGCTGTTTCGGTTCCGAGTATGCCGGACAATCGGATTTATACTGTACTTAACGCTTCGATGGTCGTCGATCGAGCTTCCCTCGATCGTCGCCGATCATCCGAATCCTTTGCACGATGCATTGTCGTCTCGGACTGTTCCACAGATTATCGGTGAACTGTCGATACTCTCTTCGTATTTCATAGCAAGTGCGTGACACGGCTATGCAGTTGCAACCAGTGCCATTTCAGCGACAAATTATAAAAGTTTTACGCACCCTCCGGCCGCGATAGCTTCTCTTCGCAGAAGACGCCATTTTCTTACCTTCTTCGGGTTTTATCGCGAGAACTGTGTCGAAAGAACTAGATCGTTTCTTTGATCCGTTGCGCGAATTTGCCCGAGTGGGGCCCAATTTTGCAAACAGCGTCCGACGGGATGCGGGTCGTAGCTAATTATTAATTGATTTCGCCAGAAATTCAGGACAAAAGAGAGGTTCCTTCGAAGACGATCGTGTTCCCGTGTTAGCGCGTGCTAACCTAATCAATCGCCGACTCGTCGACGGAACGCTTAAGATTAGTATTTTGTCGAACGAAGAACGATATTATTTCCTAGGAGAACAGAAAAGGTTCGCTAAAAGGTGCTAATCGTTATTATTCAATTGTAGTTTGCTGCGAACCACGCTCTTGCGGAACATCAATAATACAGTTTCCTCCCGTAACGTCACGCGTCTCAAAAGATAATGCGGGATGTTCGCAAGCAATGGCCTGGCTTCGCCGAAATCGAGAGTAACGAAAATACAATTCGAACACCCGATAACATAGTCGAAGCGCGACGCCGGCGGAAACACTGTCTCTCAAGCAGGATACTTTCGACATATTAATATTAGAACGGTTTATCTCCCTCTTAGAAATGATTGCATATTTCTTTTTTTTTTTAGGGCAGGGGAGGTAGAACGTGCGAGTGAAATAGCGGAATGTTTGCATGTGGTGGATACGAGCGTATGTATGCATAGTAAGCAAGTATTGCGTGAATCGACGCGAATTGATGCGAATGACGGACGAATTGAATTATCTCGTTTTGCCTCCGGTCGATTTAATTGTTCGCAGAGTGCTTGAACTCGTTCGAAGGGAAACTGTTTTTTTCGCGTCGTGCATTTACCGTTCTCCGGCGACAATGTTTTCACGTAACGACGTCCGTGTAAGGACTATTTAACCTCCCCCCTCCCCCACCTCTCTACTTATTTATTTATATCATGAATCGTCATTAGAGACATCGTCGCGGCGTGTATCATCGTTGCGTTAATAATCATGAGGAATTAGGAAAACAGAAAGAAAGTAAAGGAAAATGGCCAGGTTGCTTCTTCGCGCGAAAACATGTGTAAATTTCGATTTCCTCGTGGACAACGAGATCAAGTGAAACCGTGAAACGATCGGTGCTGTCCACTCGTTGTTTACAAAACAAACGATCTTCGGAAACTCTTGTTTCGTCTCGATGGTGCGGCACGATGTGCTACTGATATTGGGTTGTCCGGAAAGTTCGTGCCGATTTTACATAGCCAAGCTTCACAATATGATCGTGGATGGTTGATGTTGATTTATTTAGCATTCTTGCTAATTGACGTAATGTTGAGCGTGGGTTATTCTCGATTTCTGTTCTAATCATGCCTTCGTCTGTGGTGGACGGCCTACCTGGGCGTTCTTGATCTTCAAGGTCGAACTTTCCAGCTTTAAACCGAGCACACCACTTCCGCACAGTTCTTTCGGCTACAGCATCCTCGCCATAAACGGCGCATATCTTATTTGCCGCTTGTGTGGCATTTTTGCCCTTTCGGAAAAAGAAAAGCATGAAATGCGCTATAATGCACTTTATTTGCCGCCATATTCTAAGGCGTACAAAACTGATAAAAATTAACGAATCGTAACCAAACTTTTTTCCAAATATGGCTGAAGTTATCTCTTTTAGAATATGTACACATGTCATTTGTTTTCAATAATTGCGATATATTCAGTCAGGTCTCTCGCGCTACCTACCGAAAATCGGCACGAACTTTCCGGACAACCCGATAGAAACACGACGCTACAGGAGAACTGCAGTAAGAGACAGACGATGTTCATTTTGATTTTCTCGACGAATCGGAATTTTTGCGCGTGTAAAATCAGGACAACGCGGTCGTCGCGTGGACGACACATGATACACAATCACACACAGACAAACACATACACACACATGCGGGCATGCATGCACACACTGTCAATGTATGATTCTTTGATTATTGTGATACTTGGTAATAAGTAGGTACGTACGTGCCGTTGTATATTACGTTACTTTACTTTTCTTCTCCACTCCTGATCCTTCTTATCGCGAACACGACGACTCGGAACGACCGTCGGCGATGGTCGAGTTCAGTGCCGCCATGTTTCGAACGTTTCTAGCAAATCCTCGTTGCAAAAGTAAATCGATTTATAAATTTCTAGCTAGCAATGTAGACCGATGAGTGAATCGTAGATAGACAACACCGATTATGTATAAATACATCGTTGTATTTATGTATATATACGTATACATGCATATAGATGCGCGCGCGCGGGCACGCGATACGTAAACAAATAATAAATGAGATAAGTGTTGAAAAAACGAAGGTATGATGTGCAAACGTGTCGTTCGAAAATTTTTAGAAAGTACAGAGTCCGTCTCTCTTTTTCTATGTACATTATATATCTGTGACTATATATTTTAACGAAGAATGCTCTCATTTGGTAAATAAACCGGGGACCATTACTGTTATAATCAATGTGAAAAAAGCCGTGGCGTAGCAATTACCATTTCGATTTAAATCTTTTTTTAATTATAAATAATAGTTGTATGCGACCGAAATTATTATTTTTTTTCGTTGCACATAATCATCATCGATGCGGGAAATTTGTTCGAATCAGTCGTAGGAGTTATCGTTGAGAGAATCTCCGTTGCGATTAATTCTAACATTTGTCAACAGAGAAAATTGATTTCGGTTCCTTATAACAATTATACGAGACGGAAGTTCTATTTTAATCGGTCATAATAGTTGTAGATAAGAGAAATTGTATTTTGATCACATATTATACAGGGTGTCTCATCGGGATATCTACACATGAAACAAGTAAGATGCGCCATATGAACATAATATGTGCTAACATGCGTTGTACGAGGCATATCTTTTATTTTGCGTTTTTTGTAAATTCATTGCCAATTTAAGAAGGTTTATTTTGTGTTAATAAAGTTCAGTATTACGAAGAAAAAGAGTGTATTCATTGTAAAAATTGTTTCAATCCCACAGCACTAACAAAGTTATCGCGCAGCAGCGTATCATGTTAACATAATATTTATTTCGTTTCTTAGTAACAACAAAACGCTACTTCGGTGTGAATAAACTGAAAATCATTTTGTTCGAATAGAAAACAATTCGGTATCATATCAAAAAATACAATTTCTTTTATTCATAACTTTTATGAACAATTCAATGAAATTGTTCTCGTCTAAAAAACGTAATTTCGGTTATTGGTAATTGTCGGCTTAGCTTCGACTTTAATAATATACACGTTTTTGTTACCGACTGCTTTCACAGAAACTGTTCAAATAACTGTAATTTCTGGTCCCTGAAATAAACGTCGAAGGAAAACCGAAGGGAACAACGTGATAACGAACGGAGAAGACGACGCCGTCTGATTGAATGATTATCTATATTTGTTTACAATATCATGTAACAACAAGGAAAAATACTGAATTAAACGGGGATACCTTATTTGGTGTATCACACATAGGCACGAGCTGATCAACGTTCTCGCGATAGATCTTCTGTTTATTGGCAATACAATTTAATACTTGTCATTGGTAAGTGGGTTGCTCGATCATTCTAGTTTGCCGCGCGATCGATTATTACTATTCGAAAGTGTGTTTTGTTGCACAACGAACACTTTTTCTCGCGAACACGGGTTTCGCGAATCCTACACAATTTTCCGCGATGTTGCTGCACGGTCTCTCGGAACGAAACGCTGCGCTGCGCCGATATCCCCGAAGGATGGATCTACTTCTGCACAAGGTACAAACGAACCAAAAATGCCGTTGTCGATCCTGCAACGGCACACTTTTCGCATTCACATTCTTGCGAAACGGAGTGCCCTTTACAAGGTCAACGATGAAGGATTAAATTACCACTCGCATCGCTCGATAAACCATTGGGAAAGAATCTCGTTGAACCAATAAAAAGCTTCTTGGTGCATCGATTTCTCAAGTGATTTCGAACCGCTTCGAAACGCATCCGACACGTCGACTGTCCAACTTTTCGTATTTTCCACGAACGTCGAAGAAACATCTTCGCTATACAAAATGTACAATAGACAAATATTACGTAAAGTTATCGAGTCAATCCCTGTTTTTCGTACATCGTACATCTATCTTTTCGATAATCGTCAAATTTCTATGTGAGCATTAGTAGCATTTAAAGATTGATAAATGTCACGGTTCATTTGAATCAAACGTCCTAAACTCCGACGTTAAAGTATTAAATTACCGAAGAAAGTTGGGAACTGCGAGTAGAAGAGATTACACTTGTACTGCTTCGACGCGAGCCTCACGCCAATGTCAATGTTATCGAAATACAAGATCTAGAAAAATATACATATATGTGTACTTGTATGTGCGCACTGTGCGTTCAACTTACGATCGGAGGGAAACACAACAAAGCCACGCGACTTTGGTGCACACTAAAATGGAGTTCGAAAATTTCTGGTCGGTTATTGTCTCAAGTGGTTTCAAATAATGACTGATTCGTTAAGAAACAAACGAAAGATATTCAAACGAAGTTTCTACCACCTTTCGGTTCGAGCCCACGCAACATACGTAAACCAATGCCCGATTCGTCATGCGATCCACGTTATACAGCCATTGTTGATGTTTCGTTCGAATCTCGAGTTCGTCAGACAACACACGCGAAGTGTTCCTTTTACTTGATTAACTCTTTCGGTACGAGCGCCGCATATATCCGGCATCCATCTGATGACCAATATGGACGAGTGCCGAATACATCTCTGACATCCATGTAAGCCATATTTCTGTAGGCCCTTTACAGAATGTTTACAGAAAACATTTAAAGAAATATTTAGAAACGGATTAAGCACAGTCATTACTTAATGCTTGAGAAAATCTTCGTACAAAAGTGGACTGACCCTGCGTTATGTGCGCATTTTCGACGCGGCACCCCGTACAGTGGGAGTGTCACGGCGGACAACGCGCTCGTACCGAAAGGGTTAATGTCGCCCGATCGTAGTATTTTCTAATGCGGGATCGCGACAAACGTTACTTTCAACGACCGGGATATCCCCGGTCACGACATTTCTCGAGCATCGAAACGCTCTCAGGCTCGAAGATTTGTGCCTCCCCGTTCAATGTTTTCCGCGGCGCGCGCGCGTTCTCGTCTCTATACACGGAGCAAACGAAAAGATATCACAAATGAATTCGAAAGTCACAGAAACGATATCCGTTACAGAAAGAAGAAAAATCTTACAACACAGCGATCAGCGCGCTATCGCTCGCTTAACCGTTAAGCGTAACCGCGCGTACATACACCACTCGACATACATTAACCCTTTCGGTACAAGCGCCGGATATATCCGGCATCCATCCGATGACCAATATGGACGAGTTCCGAATACATCTGGCACCCATGTAAGCCATATTTCTGTAGGCCCGTTACAGAATGTTTACAAGAAACATTTAAAGAAAGATTTAGAAACGGATTAAGAGCACAGTCATTACTTAACGCTTAAGAAAATCTTCGTACAAAAGTGGACTGACCATGCGTTATGTGCGCATTTTCGGCGCGGCACCCCGTACAGTGGGAGTCACGGCGGACAACGCGCTCGTACCGAAAGGGTTAACAAAGACATCGCATCATCCATCGTAAATACAAGTTCTCGCGGAAAACTACGGACACACGGACGAGACACGAGAATACGGTTACTTTTTTTCTGTTAATGGTTCCTGTTCTCACGAGCGATATTAGGATACTGAACACGCGACGCACGAAACTTTACCTATTTCTTAATTAGTATCGATGTAACGCGTACCTTCCCAATGATTCATGCCGTTTCGATTCGAACCCGACGCCAGGAGAAATCAAAAAATCATTCGAATCACCGAGTACGGAAGCGTTTAGAGAAATTCAAAACATTTCGGATAGACACTTCGATAGCCAGAGTTGGGGGCATAGTCGAATAAGATTTTCAGTTCGCTCGATCAAAGGTTACGGATAGAGAAAACACGAAGTAATCGTGAATCGATGATTGTATAAAAAAAGTCTCGCAACTCTGGCACAACGACTTTTTTTTATTGCTGGTTGGAAGAATGAGATTTGAATTTTTTCGAAACGCTCCTGCGCGTTACTCGGTCGGTGAACGTCTCGCGAACGAACCGAAGTGCGGATACGCTACATCGCTATGAAATCGAGCGCGACATGCTTACAAAACTTTAGTTAATATAATACTAAAGGTAAAATCGTTGATGAAAGCTGATGATAATAATAATATTAGGCGCGTACACGAATGTAGGCAGGCGTCGATACCTATCGGTGAAAATGAGCAATCGTCTGCGACGAATAAAAACTATTCCGGCGCACTCATTTGAAATGGCATTAATGACCCGGGTACTAGAGTAAAAAATAAAGGGGAAGACTAACATCGCGTCGCGTCTATTACGAGCACTTTGGTGCGAATACATACGTACGTGTACATATACATACATACATACGTGTACATACATATACATGTACACATACGTATTTACGTTTTCAATAAAAATGTACAATAATATTTAGTGTGTACGAGGGGCCTGCGTATACGCGTATTTCTCTTTTTCCTTCTTTCGTTTTCTTCCTCCTGCTTCTTCATTATTTTTTCTTTTTTTTTTCATAGACAAAGTCACATTGTTCGGGCGTTATAAATATAACCATGTAATAGTCTCACGTAAATCTAAAATAAATATCTATCACAAAGGACTGGTCTATAACAATAAGTGGCTCCAATAAGCGGCTCTCACACGGCTTACGACTTAACCCCGTTTGCTATATCGTACTCGGTTACTCTTGTTCTCCAGATGATAAAACGTATTACAACGAATCCTTATCCTACGTATTTACAAACTATTCGTAGCCGTTGCTCTGTCAAGCACAGCCGATGGTAAAACAACGAACTTGCTTGAACGACGCGATGCTGAAGCGAAGATCGTTAGGGAATGCTTAGGACTTGGACGATCGGTCGATCTCCGTTCGCGTAACAAAGAAATGCACACATTACGTACAAAAAAAAAAGAAACGTTTAGTTCATTATTTCGTCCAGTCATATGCAGCTGGAGAATTAGTCTGTTCTACGTATGTGAAAAAGATATAAAAAAACTTCCAGTCCCCTACCCCTTGTTTAGATTTGCGCATCGCATCGATTCCATCGACGGTGCTTGACAGGGAAACAGTACTCTGAATTTTACTCCGACGCGTTGCGCACTCGCGACACTCATTGCGGCAATAAATACGACAATGACACGTGTCCGTTTCCCTTATCACTTGTACTTACCAATATCCGTGCGGTACGCGATTAATGTATCGTAAGTGTGATAATAAATACTATATTATGCTACGATCGGGGGAAATCGTTCGGTTGCAGACGACTCATCTTCTTCCGCATACTCGCGGGATGAATCGTTCGTAGCGAATCCTCATGTTTTCCTGATTAGTCACTGCGTACGTTCGTAAAAGTCGTCCTTTTGTTTTTTTTTCACTCGAACGTTTCGAAACAAGTCGTGTCCACTCGTACAAAAAACCCGATGGAATCGAACCGATTCGCGCACAATCGCAGATGCCGCTGCGTTTACACCGCACAATCGTCGCTCTTGGTATCATGCCGCTCATGGTTCGTGTACCGCAACAACGGAGCGCCACTGTTCGCCGCTGCCGTTTCTTCCTCATTGTGCACGGAACACGTTACGACCTCCCCTAAAAGTAAAATTTGCGTGAACGATACTTACAGCGGACAGAAGTGAAATAGGATAAAGAAAACGAACCACAGTTGAGACACAAGAATAGAGACATAACACGCCATAACATTGTACTTAAAATCCCAACAGGCATTGCATCTAAGAACCCCACTAACCCCCATTGTTACCGATATTTCATGCAATTTAGGTAAGGCCTGAACAGAAAATGCACTGGCTCCAATAGGGATCTTAAGTTTGTGATTCTTTTGTTTTATCAGTAGTCGGACTAAAATATCTAAATTCGTAGTTGTAAGTCACATGTTTATATTTGGAAGTAATTGGCGATTGTTTTAATTACTGTAAACGATAAATGGAGAATAATAAGCAGAAGTACGAGAATATAAGATTACTTCGGATAAAACATCCACTAGGACTGAACATGTTTTAATACCGGAAACAGTTCCCACATAGATCACTAAAGTAGTTAAAGTAGAGTACAAAGCTGGATTTACCAAAGAATTAAGACATTGTTAATGGAGGATTCGTTGAGAAAGTGCCTGGTGGTAAAAGAATAGCGATCGATCGATCGATCGATCGATCGGCACTTATTGTGCGACACTTGTAGAGTTCTCTTGTACAGATTTTAAACCGGAATAAAATGTCTAACATATTCATACATACCAGGCAAGCACAATTGTAACTGATCGCTACTAGGATTGGTACTGTCACCCATACCACTATCTTTGCTGTGCTGCGAGCTCGTCTCTAGGTATAAATGTGTCTGTGTGTCTGGTGCTGCAGCGGCGACCACTTGGGCCGTCGACGGTTGTGCGTTTCCACCTTGCGCAACAGCGTTCAGGCGTCGTCTAGTTTGGTAGATTATAACTACCCATACAATGGACGTGCCAACGGCGCAACATACTACGGTAATTATTATTAATCCCAGCATATCGTCTTCGTTCACCGCGGCAGGACTAGAAGTAGGAGCTAGAAAGACAAACGAAATATACCAGTAAAGATCAATTTTATCGTGATTTCGTTTCAATTTACGTTTCGACTTACCAGGTTTTACCGTCAAATGGGACGCGCCGACGACGCTACCTAAAGAATTGCTCATCTCGCATTCATAATTCCCAGCATCGCTAGCCATAGTGTTGACAATGATCAGCAATTGATCTTCGGCCGTGAAGAAATGCCGTTCTGTAGCCTGCAAGGGATTTCCGTTCTTGCGCCAGGATAGCTTTGGTCTGGGCATGCCACTCGCCATGCACTCCAACACGATCGAGCCGCCAACTATTATTTCCTTATTCTCCATCGGCTTCGCAAACGACGGGGTTTCTGTGCAACAAACAATAAACGAACATCAATAATATTGTCGACTTGTAAACGTAGCGATACGTAAACAAGTAGCAACATTTCGAGAACAAGCGGGCATTTACTTAATATAGTGAGCGTGGCATTAGCGACGATGACGCCGGCGAGATTTTGCGCGGTGCAAGAATAAACACCGCTGTCGGCGGTTTTCACGTCAACGATGAATAGCACATCATCGGTCGGCATCATATGCATCCTTCTCTCTCTTGCAGCTGGAAAGTCGTTTCCTCCGTCCTTCTGCCAAGCTATTTGCGGCGACGGTTGCCCTTTCGCGGAACACGCTAGTCGAGCAGTGCTTCCGGCGGTTACACGAATGTCGTGTGGAATTTTTGAGAAGGATGGGTAAGCTATGAAAAATCAGGCATGAGTTAACACGAGTTTCTCAAGACTAAAGCAATCTTATCTACAGACATATGACTCACTTAAAATGCTTAGTTTTGCTTTCGCAGAATATGTTATCCCGTAAGTGTTTGTAACCATGCATTGATATTTTCCGGCGTTCGTTTGTGAAACGTTAGTCAAGTGCAAAATGGAAGACGTCTCTGTGACACCGCCGTTTTCCATGGAGTCTGTGTCTATTTTCAAATTGTCGCTATCCATATTCACATTGTCATGCTTCCAAGTGAACTGCAGAGATGCGTTCGCCGTGCTAGTCGCACGACAAACCAACGAAACATTGCCCCCTTTGATGCCCATTTGACTCTTCGGTTCCTCGATTATTCTCGGTTTGGTATACTCGTCTGTTCCGGTACGAATTATCATTAAATTAACAACTTGCGATCGCGAAACCATCTAAAACTAACTGCTGCTACCTGTCTTGCTTTAACTACCAGCTTCGTTTAGATACGAGCATACTAACCACAGGTAAAATTCTTGTGATGAAGTTGCGTTAACGCCATATCCTGCAACCAATCAGGGTATCCACAAAACACTTCCGTTTCACTATATCTGTGATCTTGTAACCACATGCTTAACCACTGTAAACCGCAATCGCAGACCAGGGCTCCTGTGTACAACAAGAGGTAAGAGCGAGTGTCTTCGAATTTTCTTTGTTCGATCACGAAACTGATTTCAATACGTACTCGAGTTCATCCTTAATTTGCTTAAACTGATCATCGACGCAAAAGCATTTTCCTGAATGCTTGTTACATCGTTCCCAGTTAAATCCAATTCTGTTACCCTGCTCAAGCCGGTAAACGCTTTCTTATTCACCGACTTTATTCCGTTATGGGCTAATCCCAGTTTCCACAATTGACCCAATGAACCGAAAGCGGTGTTGGTATCCTCTATCATGTAGGATATTTTGTTAAAGTTGAGTTCCCTTTAGCAAAGATAATAATTATTAGAAATCGATAGATTCGTACAGCAATAAACTATTTCTAAAAGTGCTTACAGTATTTGTAAGTTTGGTGTCGCAGTGAAGGTGCCGTCTGAGATTCCCGTAATTTGGTTGTGATCCATTTTGAGCTTCTCCAGTTTTTCTAGAAACTCGAAGGTGCCCTGTTCAATGGATGCTATTTCATTATGCGACAGATCCCTGCAAATAGGTTTGAAATTGTATCTTATACCGTTCTTGTTACATTAACAGAAGAGAAAGAATTGTTACTAACAATTCTACGATTTCCTTGCACATTTCCCAAGCTTGTGTTTCGATCGTTCTTATTCGATTATGTGAGAGCGTTAATTTCTGCAGACTTTCTAACCCAAACATGCTACCTTTTCTGACAGTAATTAGCAAATTGAAATCAAGTTGCAGAATCGTTAAAGTTTTCAGTGGCCAGAATGCGCCAGGTTCCAGAGTCTCAATTTTGTTTCTTTTCAAGCGTAATTCTTTCAAATTATATAAATTTTTAAAACTGAGTCCTTGAATAGTTTGTAGTTCGTTTCGATTTAATTCTCTGTAAGAAACATGATATTTTTTATCCATACATTCACGAATACATATGGACTTTTTGTTTAACCAAGATAATACAGATAATATCTTACAGTATACGCAATGCTTTTAAATTTGTAAACAGATCTTTTAATTGTGTCAAGTGATTTTTGTTCAAACGTAGTTCTTCCAAAGAAGTCAAGTTATCCAGGCTTCCATTTTCTATCATTTTCATTTGATTCATGTTTAAATTTCTACAAAGAAAAATTAAGTTGCAAAGTATATGCACTGAACTTATAGAATATGTAGAAGAGGTAATTATAAAATATATACATACAAATGTGTAAGAGAGTTTGGAGTAAGAAAAGATCCATGCTTAACGATACTAATATTATTTGCACTAATATCCAAGCTCTGAAGATGGGGTAAACTCAGTAGCGCTGTCCCATTTATATCACTAATCGAGTTATGAGCTCTGAAAACAAGTTGTTTTTTACAGAAAAAATTAATCATGCTATAACTGTATCAAAGAACTGAGTAATTTCCTTACAAGGCAAGATGTGTCAATGTTCTCATAAAATATAAATCTGGCACTCTTGTTAATTGATTTTTATTTATTTTGAGTCCCTGTAGTTGTGTATTCTCAGATAATACAATTGTAAAATTATCTCCAAATTTATTTCCACTGAGGTCTCTGTAAAAATAGTTATCGAATAATTTAGCATCATTTAAAAGAATTATAATTCAACCATTGATACGTACAATTCTTTGAGCCTAGATAATTGTAACAATGCATCGGCTTCCAAATTTGCGATGTTATTCTCCTTCAGTTCTCTGAAATTGTAAAAAATATTGTACACGGTCAAATCTTGATATGTAGTTTGAATTTTCTTTTAAACTTTTCCATATTTATAATAATAATTTTCCATATTAATAATCTTTTGTTTTTACATTTACGTTTACAACTAACATGAAAAAAATAATGTGTGACATTTTATGTATTTTACTAGGTAAAACTACCATCAACTGTCAGATATAAGTTGGTATGATACACTAAAGGCAATGTTCTCCTCATCTAGATCTTGCTCTCCTTGACTCTATGCTGTATAAAGCAACAATAGTCTGTCCCTGTGCATATTCCCTTATATGGTCAAGAACTCCTGCTAATGTATATGTAAGTACAAGACTACCATTATCCTTTAACCATGTAAGGAATGAAAGTAAAGCTTCCTACATGCACCTATGGTCAAATGTTCTAGAGTTACACGGTAAATGTAAAGAAAATAAAGAGTGTAAAGTACAAAAATAAATGAGTTTGCTAAAAACTAAGCATAAATTTATATTAATATACCTATGTTTATGCAAGAAACTTCCTTTAAAATACGTTCGTGAAACGCGAAACACTTTAAAAAATCATTGTTAACAACATTGTCGAAAATTTGTCAGTTCATAACAAACGTCTAAAAAGAAAAATAACAAAACGTAAAAAATGACGCTTATTTTCTGTTGGATAGAACGAGTTATGTTATCTTGTGTGTATTAACACAATGTTTCTGTTACAAATTCCTGTATACTATCTTATCTACGTTAGATCATGTTACAGTGAATATGCGTAGCATTCAACTTTAAACTTAAACGGTTTGTCGCATGTACGTGATCGACAAAAAAAGTATACAAACGATCGTAAAATCTTGATGGAATTTTAACTAGCCGTGTGAACCTATTTCGACAAGTTTGATTGTCCGTGAAGGACAGCGTAACACCCTCCGCGGTTCTTGATGAAATAACGAGCGGCTATTTACTCACAAGATCTCTGTCCATGGTGGTAGACCGCTGGGTGCTCCGATCAATTGTAAGCTACCGCAGTCGACCACATTCCCAAGACAGCCGCACTCAACAGGACACTGATTATCCTTGCCACTGAACAAGATCGGGTCGGCACACGTAGGATTCGACGGGATCACACATAATATCAACAGCGAAACGGTGGTCCATTCGCGCATCCACACGAGTCGACGTACGAGGAAAGCTTGTTCCGAGCGCGACATCGTACGCGCCCTCGTAACGTTCCGTTTTTAATACTTATTTCGCGATCGCGGGCCGTGTATCGGCAGCGATTTTCGCCATAGCGACACCGTAGGATGAGCACGGCTTTCCTCGCGAAACCATCACCGTTCGAACAAAAATGCTCACGCTTCTTATCGATTCAAAACAAACTCGCTCGGCTCTCAAAAACGCTCCGGCCCACACACCATGATGACGCCTACAGACCGATTCGAGACTGTCGGACTGATGATTGCGCGAGACACGAGCGCGAGACCATTCTTTCTCTCCTTATGCCTATTCACACGCAACATTCCAACCGTCGTGTTACTAGACACTGGCACCAGCTAGTGACATTTCTTACGTCATTACGTATATCTTAAAGCATATGTACATGCTATTGAAACTGACGATTACAATGCGTTCAAATGCTTCGCAATCTGTGCATGTGGTCTTATTCGATCGAAGCATTATTCCGTCGTCATAAAATCAACGAATACGCTGATACCGCAAATTCAATCAACTATGCGCCATCTTTGTATCCATTTGTATCCTTAGATGCAGCTTGCAGCACGGAACACAGACGTATATGTACATATGTACATACGCATGCAAACATTGTCTCGCCATGGGCACTCACACGACAACATTGCACATTGTATGTTAGAGCTGACAACACTGTAAAATAGGGATCAAAATGCTACAGTCCTATTGTATGTATGTAATATAGTTCACTAGCTGATTGTTCTATTTAGGTGTGTAGAGGGTTGCAGAGGGCGCAATAAAACCACTGGCGTTGTCGGTATTTCAGAACGTGCAACACGAAACCTCGTCTCATAATCTCATGTGGTGTCTGGCGTGGCGTCACTACTCTGACGTTCTGAGCTGATACCCTCGTCTGTGGTTCCACGTTCTATCTTGCTCGGTAGCTGTTTATTATTTACTATCGAAAATGTTTACTAAATCCACGGACCCTCTTGTTTTAGCACAGTAAAGTTTGCGATAATTGGTGAAACATTATCAGTAATTTTTGTACGTGTAATAATGATAGTAGATACAGAGATTGGTTAGCCCAACATCCTGGTTGCCTTGGTAACGGGCGGTAACAGGTAAATGCGGCCCGCAGTCTGCGAGAGTAACAGTGGCAGAATAGGCAAATGAAAATTTACACATTCGCGAATAAAGTTGCACAATGTGTGACTAGAGGTCGTGCGAGTGAAATTTCAGATTTAAAACTATCCTTTGATTGGATCGAGACATGATTTTATCTGTACTACGTATGTATGTACGTACATATGTAACTTGTAACTGCAATTGATCATTTGTGTACATTGTACAGTATACGGGTTGTTGTCTTTAAACTTTTACTTTTATAACATTCAACCCTCTGATCAAGGAATTCGATGAAACGATTGGTATTTGTACCGAGAATGAAACAAAGATAGTTATTATGGGTCGATGAAATTTGTTTATTCTATTAAATGATGTGACAATGTTCTCACAAATCTAAGAATCCACTCCCTCGAGATGTGTCATCAAGTCTTCGTAGATTGGCACCACTGATGCTTCTTTCCAGATGGTTTCTCTCCAGTGTCCGATTTGTAATAGTTAGAGTTGGAAAAGTGTGTTTTTAAACCGGTGCATGTTCCTGAAATGTGTCTTTGAACTTTGGTAAGGCCATGCATGAAGACGAGAAAGATCTCCTGCTCGAACGACGTTTATTTTCACGTCGATAGCGTTGCTCGTTTGTTCGATGTACTCTTGAAAATACACCTCTCGCTTAACGTCGGTATTTCGAAGAATTCGAAGTAAGAAAGGTTCATCAAATGTTCTATATTCTAGTCGAATTGCATTGTAAAAGATGCGTACTCTGGGTTGTTTTACAATTGTCTTTAATCGATGATTGCATCTGCCCACATGCTTCTGCTGTATGTAATGTTATTGGGTGTGCTTTGCTTGCCATGGTCCTTCTGTTTTTAAGTTGTAAAGTCACTGTACTCTGTTACGGAATTTACGATGTTCATCGGCGAATTAAAAATATAAATGACTTAAGGACCGATCTTATTAAAGTACGTACGAACTTGGTGCAGATTGTTGCCCACAGAGTACGTATTGTTCGCAACGATCTAGTTGGAATTAATTTGTCAAAACGACTCTGATGAGTGACTCAACAAAGTATTGTCGCTCGTAATTACTGAAAATACATATAATCTTTCGTGCTCTTTTATTTGGCAACAAACGATAGAAACTTCGGAACAATTAATGCTTGTTAACCCCATTTGCTTTATTTATTTAATTGAATATTATATTGCGGTTAACGCTTGTCGTTCGTTAAGGTTAAAAAATGAACTTTTACTTTGTAGACAAGACGCAATTGTAGCTTTGCATTAAAAGCTTTAGATCGTGTTGGAATTATAATTACATAATGACAGAATATAAACTTGTCGTTGTGGGTGCTGGAGGTGTTGGCAAGTCTGCTCTTACGATTCAGTTGATACAAAATCATTTTGTAGACGAATATGATCCCACAATAGAAGACTCTTACAGAAAACAAGTATGTGTTTGCACTTATTTCTTGTACTAATTAAACGATTATCTCGGAGCAATTAAAAACACTAAATATTTTATACTTAGGTAGTCATAGATGGGGAGACATGCCTTTTAGATATATTGGACACAGCTGGACAAGAAGAATATAGCGCAATGAGAGATCAGTATATGAGAACCGGTGAAGGATTTTTGTTAGTGTTTGCTGTGAATTCAGCTAAAAGTTTTGAGGTATGTGTTATCACATTCAAATTTTTCATGATTGGGACATCCATAAGATAGTTTTATTCATTATCTTTTTATTCCAATGTAAGCACCAATACAAAACACTATCATCTTATTTTATCTATGTAACTTGAACGCAGCAGCATTATAATTAAAGGGATTAATATTACTTCAAACTTGTGAAACTAAGTTCCATGTTTCATTAGTTATCAGTTAGTTATCAAGATTCAATTACATTAATTTTTTAGTGGTCTGTACAAATTTAAAAAAAGGGCTCCTATATGTTTCATTTTGCAGGATATAAGCACATATAGAGAACAAATAAAAAGAGTAAAGGATGCAGAAGAAGTACCGATGGTATTGGTAGGAAATAAATGCGATCTTCAACAATCCTGGGCAGTAAATATGTCACAAGCAAGAGAAGTTGCCCGTCAGTACGGTGTGCCTTTTGTTGAGACTTCTGCAAAAACTAGAATGGGAGTAGATGATGCTTTTTATACTTTGGTAAGCATATTAACCATGTGCATGATTCTTTGATCCTTTGGTAATTTAAATCGATATCAATTAATGCTTCGACTAAATTTAAAAATACAAAGCACAGAATTGTTTCGGTGTGTGGGTAACGCATTTTTTAATACTAGGTGAAATTATTAAATTATAGGTCAGAGAAATACGCAAAGATAAAGAATACAGAGGCAAAGCAAAAAAGAGAAGTATGAGAGGAGGTAACTCAAGCAATAGGAGACGTCGGTGCTGTTTGTTTTAAATCACTGAATACCATAACTTTTCTCATTCGAAGCGGTAACGCGAAATAAATTGTAAAAAGCGTTAGATTATGTTCACTTTACGCACATTTTTGCAGCTTATTCTATAGAATATTGTACTAATTTTCAAGCACAATTTTTTCAATACATTGAAAGAGAGAGAAAGGAAGCGAGAGAAAGAGAGAGAGAGAACAAAGTATGTAATAGTATTGTATAATATTGCATACATTTTTACTCTTGAAGTTGAATTTCATAAAATACATTATTTGTTCAACAGTCTGCCATATAACTCTTAATATTCCATTTGCAGAAGAATTTTAACCCTTGATTGCATAGAATAGTCAGTACCGAAAAATATTTATAGGACTATTCCTCTGTTTTATTGTTAATTACGTTTAATTAAACATACAGAAAAGTATTATCCCACAAAATGATTGCATAGTTTAAAAATTGTGGGTGAAAGGTGAATACTTTCATTGCATGCTTTATTAAAATAGTTTATACTTTTAAATATTACGTATCTCTCTCTCTATGCATATGCATACATGTATACATATACATATATGCGTATACATATATATGTACATTCATATGTATACCTGTATGTATATCTATAATTCACTGATTGAACATATTTCTAATCTTTATTTTCATACCTTACTCTGCATAGCAAAAAAATCCATTTACACAAAAAGAAGAACAAAAGCCATAAAACTCAAGAAAATACAGTATGGATAACTCATTTTGTGCTGTGATTAAATAATCTTAAGCATGCCATGCTAGTTAGGAGGTACTATTGTGATTAAGTATGCAATTTTGATATAAATACCTATTTATCAGTTTAAAGGTAGGTAGGTTCGCTCGTGTTTTCATTTTTAGTGCAATTAAAAACATACTTCGTGTTCTTTGTATGCATCAACGAAACAAGCTCTTGCATGTGACGAAGGTGATACAATATGCAATTAGTTTTTTACATTGATATTTTTATATGTTCGCATAAAGGAAATTTACTAGATACGAATTTATTTTTCCGATTGTACGTGTTTAAGTATCCTTTTTATTCGTCGTTGTTACTTCAATGTAGAGTTGAAAACTCTCTTTGTTATGGAGATCTAAACATTGCCAGATACGGTAGTTCACCAAGCAGGCTAACTTTCACAACTTTAGCTTTGGTCATCTGCGAATTTAACTAGAACTTCTTAATGTTACCACAAAGCAACATGAACTTATAATAGTCTTGTAGGTTTCCAGTATGTGCTGGGATCTTTACACTCTCCTGCTCGTTAAATATCAATAGGGCCAATAATGGTGACATCGTTACACAGATTTTCGTTGAAATCATAAGGAATAATCTCATCTGGATTGATGAGAAGATAATTCTCATCCCTGCTAGCTTCAGTAATGTTGTCATGTTCAAATGTATTATTTCCTGTGATGGACAGGAACTGTCGAATTAGAATGGACGTCAAAGGGTTGTTCACAAGTTAGAAGGGACAATGTTCTCGGCTCTGGGTATTATTTCATCGAATCCTCCGGTTCCGAAGTTCTCATAGCCAAAGGAAGATCTCTCGCGTCATTAATTGTGTTTTGACTCTACTAATGCGAGACTATTGCGATAGAAAATGTAATTACAAGAGTGTGCGACTGTTCAAAACGATGAAAGGCGGTATTGGGATCAGATAGTCCGGGAACCAAGTTCTTTCGGTTTATATCCTGTAACTGATCCATAGTTTTATATGACTCTTCTTCGATCTGTGGTCGTTCATTTGCTTATTAGACTGAGATTTCCTTCCTCTCTGACCGTGCACTGGAAATGTATTTGCATAAAGGTGCCTGGATCTTTCGTGAGGAGCATATCTCTCTGGTTGCTGGTTCGTCTGTGAACCGGTAACGTCGATTGATGGTACTGATTGCACGATGAAACGCTTTGTAAGAAATGACATCATAATTTATCGCACAAACCGAGAAGTGAAAGTTTACATTGATATTTGAATGTTTAAATATAAACAATTACCGTAGTGTCATGGTCGTACAAAAATAGTAGCTATTTTATAACAACATTTTTGTATCCTATTTTCTGTCGCATTTATGTCCACATTGCGATTTAATTTTCATATATTATGTAACAAGAAACACGATTTGCAGTTCAAAGGCATTACAAGTATCTCTGGTAAACTGAACTTTCATTATAATTGTGTACTTTGACATTTATTCAGACAATAATGTTATTTTATTTGGACGAGACATGACTCTGTCAGAAAAATGCAAAGAAGTCTGTGTTTTTTATAAAATAAATAGATCCAAAGATGCTTCCTAAAACGTTTGTCGACGTTTCGCTGAAATGGTCGTGTCTCGGATTTCATTAAATTTGAAACAATCAAGGGTTAAATACTTTTCCGAATGATCTAAATAGTACAATTCGCGAATATCCTCGTATATGTGAACGCGTACAATTGTAATACTAGCTTTTTTAAATATTGAAAATGTGTATATATAAAATTGCACAGCATAGGTGTTGTTATGTAGTTGAAATTCATAATAAAACTTTGTACAAAACGTGTTCTTTATATTCATTCTATCTTGAATGATTGTCTTTATATATTAATTGTAAGCCATCTATGCTGTTTGATTTTATAACGTTGATGGAGGAATCGATAACTCTTTAATTAATTTTATTCGTACGGTGTTTTTCGCGTAATAAAAAAAGACACATTATTCGAATCAAACGGCCCTAAAATATTATTAAAAAAAAAACACATTTCTAAATCAAAGTTTATAAATCTATGTGTCATATCTATTTAGGTTTGAATATCAATCTTACTGTTCATCAAAGTTCTACTAGTATATATAAATTGCGTTAAAAAACTATGCACGTACCATACGCATACTTTGTATCATTTTATTCGGATCTTGTTGTTATCAAATGAAAAAATACAAAATCTATATATCAAGTACAAATTGTAAAGCGAAGTTTTTTTTCTATGAATTACATTTATGAACTTCCACGCTCATGAGATTTGCACAGTACTCATTGCTAAAAACAATACAAGATAAGTCTGTATCATTCTTATTTAAAACAACTTATGTCATAATCATGAAATAATAGAATAATTTATACACTGATCAACATCGTAATATACAGTTCAGTGTATTAAAATGTTACTACGTGTATGCTTCTTAATTTTTTAACTGAAAAATTAATGTATATTTTTGTTAACAGATTTTCTAAGAGTCTTTGTATTAACTCGGTAGGACTTAACATAATATCCGTCATTTAATGGCATGATAGAACCACTGCAACGATAGAAATGTAAGAAATAGTTTATAAAATTATTCATATTAATAAACCAACATTTATACGTATAGAACGTACAATTTTTTACCCAATTGAAACAAAGATGTCACTTTTTACAGGCAATAAATGGTAGCGCAATATTTTTGGTTTAATTTGTATTTATTTTCGAGCACCTAGGTAAATATAAAATCGTTATACGCCTATATGATTCTGTATGTCACTATATCACTGTCATGTTACTGTTTACTATACGTATAAGCTATCTTCTAATTACATACGAAATGGTAAATGTAGGCTTGTGTGTATACAATAATATATATGGCACGTCAGTCTGTACGTTTAATTACTTAAATCACTTAATAATTATTATTAAATACTACTGCGTATCTGTCATCAAATCTTATGAATTGTTTTGTTACGTTTGGCATTGTTCATGGCGTATAGCTTTAGCACTACCGTATCATTTCCATATATTTTTGTTTATGTTTGCTTAACATTTCAGTTACAGTCACCAACTGTTTTATTGTTGGCTGAAAAAGTATGAAGAAATGCAATTGAATGATAAATTAATTATTAATGTAATTCAAATCAACAATATTTGATGGATTTGAATGACAAACGGGTTAACACCTACCTGAGTTTTTGATAGAACTTGTAACTCTTTCAAGTGTGAAACACAAATATGATGTAACGTGGCCAAATCCCTTGCTGTGTCTGATATGCAACTCTTGTTTCTTGGATCTGCACCTTCTGACTCTGGTTTCTCGGTTACGTTCTATGCACAACAGGTTTAAACAATAGTCAATTGTCGCTCGTGATAGTAAACATTGAAAAATCGAATACTTACAGATAACTGATCAAGAAAGACAACCATTCGTTCCTTGTTTTTGAGAATAAATGGATTTACCACTTCCATGTATGGCTCTTTACCGCCAAATTCTACCAAATTTGCCAAATTTTGTAAACATTTTGCAACCATTACTAACGATCTATAAAATTACGAACGCCAAATTACAGAAAAATTTCTATAAAATCAAGGTATCTTACGTTAAATATAGACCTACCCTACCTTGCAGCGGCTGGAGGTGGTGGTTCAGCTATTAAATTAAATGACCTAGGATTTAATATGGCAGGGCAGAGTAAACGTAGAAATATAAATCCACTGACTACTCGCGTTCTGACTAGTCTCTCGTGGGGCCATTTGGCAACGACTGCTCTTTGCAAGCATCCACAAATATATCTGAGAGTCCTTGGACAAGCGTCGGGACTCGTAAAAATGCTCAATGTTACTTCATCTAGAACCTAAAATATCGTGAATTTAAAGCGATCGCTGTTCAAAAGAATTTCCTTCGAATTTCCATTGTATCTACCTGCAGCAAAAATTCAGCGTTGCTACATGCATCTTCCGGAGAATCCATTTTGGTTGGATTTAATTCACAGCTTTGTTTACTTTCAATCAATTTCACTATCGTGTCGCGTAAGGCGGCCTTTAAAAACGAGGTACAAACTGATTTCATGTATAAATCCATTAAAGTAGTTGTAAGGCTGGCAGCTCTAAACAATGTTGGCGTTTCATCTTCTTTGTCTACCTAAACGGAACAGCGAAACAATTATAAAGGACCTGAATTCATCATAGCTAAATAGCTTTTTAACAGGAACACATAAACACGACTTTACTTACTTCCGTTTGGTTCAGAGATCTCAACAGATCGGCTTCTTTTCTTTCGTGCCTAAACATATATATTATTTATTAGTACATAATGTACAAAATAATAGATTCTAAAATTTAGCATGTACCTAAATATTCTAAGTAAACTATTTGCCAGTGGTACTCTATCCAAATGACACACATCCGCTAATGCCCTAACAACATGTAATTCTGGATCTAATAACAATTGTTGCAATGGACTGTATTCGTCTGGAGGCATCGCCAAGTCGTGTCGGTATCTGTAATTTAATAATGATGTAGAAAACATACGATATTTTTCAAACAGTTCCGCTTATCACAGAAGTGTATACCTTATACGTAAACGTAGCACACCCCACTCTCCTATAGGAGTAACTCCTGATAATGGATACCACTCATCCATCTCTTCGCCGTTTGTTAAGCTCGCGAGTTCAACGGTCAATTCTGCGACCTCTGTATCTTTGCTGCGTTTACCTTTGTTATACAGCGTTAAGGAGAACGACATAACATCGGGCGGTACATCCCTATCGGTTAATTAATCGTTAAAATATCAATAATTAACAATCGTTAGCGGGAACGATAATAGTGATCGCTTCATGATAATCAGTCGTATACGTACTCCAGAATGAATTCTTCGTCCCAGAGCGGATGTAAACCAGTCTTAACCTTGGTGCGAGCTACTTTTACATTATTGAGAGCCACTATGATGAAGGGGTTCGGTACTAGTTTATATGGAAGTCTATGTGCGTCTAAAATATGGAGATGTAATGAACGCAATTCACGAAGTCGGGCAACCTTCGGAGCACGTGTCAGTTGTGATACACATAATGGTTTTAAGGCATTAATCCAATCTAAAGCATTCTCTGAGTTTGGAGCTGCCAAGTATGTTATCGTGGCCAAACATGGTAAAGCACGTTCAACTAATTGAAAGCAATGAGGTCGATCGAATACACTTTCATGGACCTAAAACATCTATGCTTCAGTGTCGAATCTCGCGATAATTATTCATCATGCACGCAATAAACGTTCAATGACCGTTAAACGACATTGGTGCGATTAATTGGTATGGTAATTAAAACGTGTTAAATGATACTGTATCCGACTAAAGAGTTTCATCTACCTGATATAAATAAGCACAGCTTAAATCTATGAGACCTTTAGGTTTGGTCCTTTTTGGATTGTCATACAAATACAAGTGCGTATCTGTAGCGTCTACTAAAAGTACAAAATACAGTGCTTTCCACTTCTTATTTTTCTCAGATTTCTTTTCTAGATACCCTTGCATTTTTATTCCTTTATTTTTCTTCGCGCCAGACTGTTCGCGACATTCTCTGAGAGTTGCGTATATCTTTTCAGCATGTTGCACTTCTCTATTGACTCTTACACTGCCATCGGGTTCCGTTACCATCGCTTGAACCAAGGTATGACCTTCGACTATTTGCTCCTTTCGATACCTTTAAATATCAATGTAGTAATCATTTGAGCATCCGAAAAATACAACACGATCGGGAAAACATATTCTACCTATTGATCACAGCGTCGAGACATTCGAAAGTCCTGCCACCCATGAGGTAACGTACTCCCTTTTTCTCGATCCTAAATCTTTGAATTTGATTGTTTATGTGAAAGAAAAGTGAATAATCTCCTGGACTATTGTCCGACGGTCTGACCTGTATGAAAAAAGTTCCATTAAAGTAGAATAACTTTGTCCTAAAAAGATTTTCCACTGTGTATGCGCGAACTCACAAGGAAGCTTCCAGGGCCTGCTTTCACTAACATATCAACTGCTTCACTTTTGGTGACGTTAGGATGGAACCAAGAGAAAACGGTATTGGGGTCAATAGAATCGTCTAAGTCCTCCACTAATTCACGAAAAATCAAGCCCTGTTCTCCTGTTCTGTGGGCAGTAACCCATAGCCAACCATCCCCCATATCATTATGGACAAAAAATATATCACCCTTTTGAAAACTTAATTCATCTGTGTCAGGCATTTTCGTGTATGGCAGTATTGCGACAATTCGTTTCTTATCGTTCACTGGTTCAGGGGGTGGAGTAGGATGCATAAGTCTTTCTCTCTTCAGAAGATCAGAGCAATGAGTATAATATGCAACAAGGTCTGACAAACTATTGAATTGTCTACCACCTATAAAAACATAGTTGTTTTATTATTTACGATCAATAAATATTTTATAGTATAAAATAATTCTCAACCTATATAAATAATATCTATCATACCAATATAATAATCTCCACACACAGCAGTTATTCTAAAGTGATTAATGCCAGTTCTTCCTAAGTAAGACAACACGTAACTCCCAGGTTTTCTATCGCTTTCACGCACTAGATAACTACCCATTTTATTCGCATCCCACAATCTTTCCTCTGCTGTAAATCTATCTAATCTACCATGATACCACCTGTAAAAAAGTCATTCTACATTTATTAAAATGTATCTGTGTATAGTAAATCTTGTTAAGATTAATATTGGCATTTATAATTAAATGATCGTATTGTTAGTTCATCTCACTGATTTTCCGGGGGAGCTGTTAATATTATTGCGTTAGCACTGTCAGGTTCCTCTGCATCCTGTATATCATCTGGAATATTTTCAAGAAACGGGTCAAATTCATTTTCTGCATTCATAGACTCATTCTGTCCACCATCTTCGCTGCCAGTGCTAGGCGATCCTCCTTTACTATTGTGATCCATCTGTGGACATAATAAAATATAGATCTACCACTCCATTTTTGCAAAAACATTTGTATTCTATGAGACAGGTTATGTCAAATAAATTTTCAGAGCAAAACAAGCTCATATATTTAAGGAGCAGGAGAGAGTATGATTTTGTTTTCATAGGATATGTGTACATCAGGGTACTCTAAATAATGAAACTTTTGCCAATAAAACACGAATACTTCTTGGAAATAAGTGCTTGGTATTTATGTTTCATTCTATTATATACAAATCGTACGAAAAATATTTGTCGGAAAAATATTTAAAAATAATTCTGTTTGTGTGGGAATCTGAAGCTTTGTAGATTGCCGTATTTTCTGAAAGTCAAATTTATGATTCCGTTTTATTTGTGCGATGCTTCGAAAACACAGTCATGGATGAATAATCTAGGATGAATAATACCCTTAAACATACCTTAGCACTGTTCGACACGCTCGGGCCTCCACGCACAAATTCTGCCATTTTCGGTTCACACGCACCCCTTTCACGCACACACGTTTATGAAAAAAAAGAAAATTGAAACGTTAATTGAACGGCATCCGTTTTATTGCAATCTCCCTTGCCGCGATTATTTACAACGACAGCTTGTTATTGATATAAAATGTATTGACGTTTCTCGGCAGCCATTTTACTACTGCACGCGGTGGTCGCGGTTGGTATAATCGGGAAATAGACTTATTTCGATCTTGTGCAATGTTTTTAATTATACTAAAAGCTCACGACATGTTTTGAACGGTATTCATACACCGGCATCGGTTCTGGGATCAACTGTGCATCGAACGCGGTCACTAGGTATAGGTATGAATTTCCTTCTAAACACTTTTATAAATAATACGCCATCAACAATGCGCGTATAGAGAGTCAGGCGACCCGTACCACACGATGATTGTACAGTTGTTATCGAATGTTACCGATAATACATTCGGATGATATTGTTTGAATGGGAACGCTTTACAGAATCAACGTGGAATTGAAGAAACAAAGTAAGCGGCATTAAACGTTTAAACTTGCACGCTTATCGTAAAGTCTTATGTTTGTGTCTCAAAATTCGGTAACCTTGATACACTATGTATGCATGGTGCATATAATATGTCTATATATGTACATGTGTACGTGATGTGATTGTCGTGTTGTCACTTCATTTCACAGTTGATACATATTTCTATCTTATTCTCTATGCTTAGGTCGTTGGATGAATAAAGAAGAAGAGACTATGTACGCTATTACATGCGAGAAATTATGAACGTTTCAAAACGCGGCAATATTTGAATTATGATATATATAGTAGAAAACAATATTTAACAAATATATACGTACACAAATACTTTCATTGCACCAAATATAAGTGAAATAGTTCGTCGTCTATGAACTAAGACCTACGAGAACAGACTTTTGTATTTATCTTATCTGCGACATAATTTAAATTTTGCGCGTTTTTGATCCGTAGATAATGTCACTAGGCATTCATACAAGTAGTTTTGGAGCTATGTTCATGGTGGATAAACTTGAGTGCGCATGTGCTATTTCACAATAAGTCTATTCACACGGGTATGTGTACTGGAAATTGGTTTCTGAAAAACAACATAACATTTTGTCTCTAGTGAAAACCAATGAAAACGCATGATGCATTGTCTGGGGACTTACATAGAAACGGCTGCTAATAAATACATAGTGTCTTTTTGGTCTTTTTCGCCTGTTGCATTTGCTTAGTATTTACGTATTTACTGGTACATATTTACTTACCCGTGGAACCGGTTGGCTTCTGCTGGAACGCACACGTCAAATTTGCTGACATTTACATGTGACTCGATTATCCGAAGCATTTTCTAAGGATTTGCCCTCATCATCTTTGAATCGTGATGGTAAGATCATTGCTTCAATCACTTCTGAGTTGTAATACGAATAAAATGGCGCATAGTCAAAAATAAGCGGTGATCATAACATAACCTAGCCGTTGGTCGATCAAAGTCATTCTAAAAGTTTGTTTCGGGTGGCCCCGTAGTCTGCCCTGTTTAATTTTCAGAGTCTGCTAACAGTATTTCTGTTGCTGATATGTACCTGCACTTATGTCAAAGGATTTGCGCCCAGTTTTATGGATAATCGTATGAAGAGAGTCGGGTAAGTTTATCATAACTCGTGAATACAGAGAAACATAAGTAGTAATACATGTGAAGAACGCAAATATTAAGGTACGAATAATATTTATTTACCAGTATACAGGGTACATTCTGGAAGTGTGCTAGGATCGGTGAAAGGAAAAGTCCATACGTGGCTGTTTGTTGCGTTGCAATGGCATTCAGCATTCTCTTTTGGTCGTGAGAAGTCCGACTGCTGTATGGACGTGTGAAAAGTGAGTCTGTGTTTCGATTACATCGGTTGTAATAACAATGGGTTTTAACGATAATAAAAAAGCTGATACGATCTAGCCGTGTTTTATAAAAGTAAATTTAAGTTGTAAATTGTGAAAAGTAAGCTTAACATATCTGCTGCCGATAAGATGAAAGTAAAACATCGTTTTCTGCGAGCAAAACGGGTCTCTTATCAGAGGACCGCCATAGGAAATGCGTTAACGTGTAAAAGAAGGTAAACAGGGACTGGTATCTGTGCTGGTTGCATGGTACATTTTATTTGTCAACACGTCCTTTTCTCCAAAGCTATATAATTATCCAATTTGAGCACATTTTCTCTTCGTATTTCCGTAATATATTTTTCTTCTATAAACAACAACATTCTTGTAATTAATATAGTTATTGTAGAGTCGTTATATTGAGCAGTGTTTCATGATATACAGTATCTGTTAAATAGGTATATTCAACATATGCGATTCGTTCGTTTACCTCGCGGATATGCTACTATTTCGAAGACAATATACCACGCACTGCGACTAAAACCTATACTTCTCTGTAATAGAAGACATTCATGAGAATCGCATATTATCGGTAGAAAGCTTCGGGTTTCCTCCGTTTAAAAATCTGATCCGCAGCGATTAGAATCGCGAAGCTTCTCTACCAGCACCATTTCGCACACCGATCCGAAATTACAGAGCGAGATATGGTTTGCGGTGTTTTGCGAGGAACATTTAAAAGGAGAACTTATTAGAAATCGCAATCTGTTCAGGAACACTTATTGTCGATCCCTTTTAAAAGCAAACTATAGTCGGGTGTACGTGTACATGGTGTATCGTTGCGTTCGTTCTCGTGTGTCGCAAATAAATACGCGTATTGAAATCCACGTGTCCTTAGGATTTTCGACTAGCGAACAAATACAGAGAGAAACAAACAAGTACAACAAGTAAACCTCGTTCACTCAACAGACTTATCGTTACTTAATCGAACTGCTCGAATGTTTGGCGGATTCCTCGCAGTCAACCACGTCGATTACGTTTAAATCGTGGTCTCGTTTGAATTATTGGCATATGAGGTACGTTATTCGCTCTACGGGTAATTAAAAAAATACAAGAAAATAATAAAAGTAGGGTCTAGTATCTTCCTAAAATATAGAGTACGATCCTATATGCCCTACGGATATGAATCTGACTTAGATATGATTCGTTTACATTCATCCTGTTGCCATTTACGATCCCGATAATCTTTGAACCTGATCCCGATTACGATTACGATTACGATTACAATCTCGATCACGATCTCGATCTCGGTTCCCTTGCTTCGTCGTTCCGTTGAACAAACATATCTTATTATCCCTTACGTACAAATTAGTATGCTAATTATTTGTCTGCGTTCGAGTGTAATCGAATAGTTGCTCGAGGGGGGCGACTCGTCTAGCAGGAATTCTGTTAATATTTTGACGTGACTCGGGATGTAAACTCAAGCGATCGATATCCATGTATTGCGTGTATTGTCGTTGCATTCGTCTATTTATCGGCTAACGATAAGCCAGCTCCGAAAGATGCTTCGTTATCTCTCGGAAAATACGAGAAATGCGCGAGACTATAATAATAAAGCTGTGTTAAGTTCGAATGAAATATTGTTGCAGCGAATCGACGGAAATCGAATGTATAGACAGTAGGCTTGATCATGGAACTGGAATTGGATTCGTTGGAAATTGAAAATGTCTAAATTCGTGGACCGATTCGACGAGTCATCCCCCTCGAGGTGGATCGATTCGCGGCACCGCGCGAATCTTACGGGAAACGGTAGAATACTTAATTAATCGTTGAGAATAATTATCACGTAACGGCGTAACGACGTAACGACGTAATAGCGTAACGGCGCAACGGTATACATACATATATATATATATTAACGGATGTTCATTTGAACTGGATCGCCACTGCCATTGCTGAAATAATTTGAAAACGAGCGAGTAATCGGTTCACGGTGTCCCGTTCTGCTTTTATCGTTTGGTTGTCCTCGATTTCCGTTAACGTTAATGTTCGTGGTTTCCGGTGAATTTGTCGGTGTCCCATGTTTCCATGTTACCATGTCCCTACGTTTCCGAACGACTTTTCCCTTTTGTGAATGACACTGGTGGCCCACTTGAGATAGACACCCTGCATGTGGTAAGGCTTTCGACGCTAACATTATAAAAATCACATCGTAACATCTAGTAACCCCACAGACGAGAAATCAGAGTTTTCAATTGAATATATCCCGGCCTCCCACTCTCCACTCGTTCGTCGTTAAAAAAATATTCGGCAACGTTGCAACATTCAGTCCAACCGAAGAACACGCTGTTTTTCTTCTGTTTTTTCTTCTTTTCGCTCACGAACTACTCCCCTCCCCCTTCCGCCTGTCTCTTCTCTCCTCCGCGTTCAGAAACGGATAAAAGGCTCATAAAAAATACCTTCGTAAGCGTTTATCTCTTAAAATTTGCAACAGTATTTCGCGACGGCGCTGGTCCGTGACGAGAGATCGATTATACTCGGTGTATCGTCGCCGACGAGGGAGCTCGCGCGCTTTGTCATCGTCTTCGTCTTCTTGTCCGTTTTCGTCTTCGTCGTTTACGTCCTCGTCCTCGTCCTCGTCCTCGGAACGCAATAAGAAACTTGCCCTCGGTGAGTTCAATTAAAACTTCCGAGTTTGCGATTCCTCCTTCCGATCGTTTGTTCGGGAAACGCGCCGACGGAAGACGGTGTTGCGCGGTGTTCCTCGCGTTCGAATCTGAAATACGATTCGACTCGACTAGACTCGATTCGACTCGCCCCGAATGCGAGATCCCCGAAACCGGTCGCGGGGCCGGGGCTCGGAAGGGTGGCGTGTCGTTTCTTTCGTTCCGTATCGTTTCGTTTCGTTGCACATTGCGATGCCGGTTCTTATCGGACGCTCGGGTAGAGTACGGTACAGATCGCGTAGATCGCGTAGAACGGAACGTCGATCGGCGATCCTCTCGCGAGGATCGCGCGGCTCTTCGCGGTCGCGTTCGGTTTCTCCCGGCTCTTGAACACCGTCTCGTCCTTGATGAACGGGGCCCGGGGGTCCGGCGTCGTCGTCGTGCTCTGGTGCTTGCTGTAGACTATCCTCGCGGTGCTCTTCTGCATCGCGGGCGTGCTCATTTGGTGGAAGACCCGGTTGATCGTTGTCGCCTGAAGAAACTTCGACTTCGACTTGCTCGGCTTCTTCCAATTGGCGGAGGTCGCTGGTGTGGGCGGCGTCGCCAGCTCGACCTCTGCGAACAATCCCGGAACGAATCGCTCGAGACATCTCTTTACCTTCATTTTCCAGAACGGAACGAAGCTCGTTTAACGCTTGTGCCAATAATCGAGCACCCTTTTGCACATTGCGCTCGAAATATTTTCTGTTCCCGATAAAATATTTCCCGGTAATAAATTACATTTTATTTATATATTATTTATATATATATAATATATTATATAATTATATAATAAATACATACATAATATTATTATATAATAAAATATATTATATAAATTATTATTATTATTATTATTATATAATATATTATTTATATAAATATAATATCAATAATATATATATTATTGTTATTATATTTTATTCCCGATAATAAATTTCCTATCGATATACGTTTCGGGTCTATTATTATATAATAAAATATATTATATAAATTATTATTATTATTATATAATAATATATTATTTATATAAATAATATATTATAAAATATAATAAATATATATTATATATATATATATATATATATATATATTATTGATATTATATTTTATTCCCGATAATAAATTTCCCATCGATATACGTTTCGAGTCTACAATTTCGTAATCAGAAAAGTACCGAAATTGGACGATGAAGTTTGATATATGTCCAATAACTCCGGGCACCCTTACAGCAGAAAAGGATAGGCAGTGTAGGAAGGATAAAAATGAATGTTTAAATATTTATTGTTATTTGTACATCACGTCAACGTGATACAGGAGCTTATTGTGTCCTGTCAGAGGTGGCCCGGTTGTGGAACAACGTCGTGAATTTTGGTTATTGGCACAAGCGTTAAACCGGCAAACTTAATCCCGCCTATCGCGTTCGATCGCGGTCAGATCGACCGCGATAGAAGAAACGCGAAGTGGGGAACTTAGTTTGCTAAAGACTCCTTAACACGATCGGCCGCTCCCCCATGGTCGGAATAATCCCCGATCCAAACGACTCACCGGTCACGCTAATCGTAGCCACGTCCGTCCCCGTGCTCGAGGACGCAGAACACGTGTACTCTCCCAAATCCGTTTTCTTCAACCGCTTTATCTTCAGCTCGATCGTCCTCTTCCATTCCTCGTCCGGGTGTTTCCGCTCGGAGATCTCGTATCTGCCGCTGCGTTGACAGATCGGTTAGCTTTAGCGATCGGGATGCCCACTTTCCCCTACACTTTAGATGACATCGATTCGGCCGATAGCGACCACCGGCCTCTATCCCGTGTAAATAACGAGCAGGCCGAAATCGATTCGATTCGCTTCGATACAATTCGACTCGACTTATTATCGCCTAAAATATGTAAGGACGTACCCGCTCGGGATGAGTGTGTTGTTCCTTGTCCACACGTTAATCGTGTTCGGATAAGCCTCGATCGCGCAGATCAAGGAGACGTCCATGTCCAGTTGGGAACCCAACAGCCCGTTGGACGCCTTCGCACTGGGCGGGACTGAAAGATTACGTTCACGGAATATTTATTCATTTATATGTATTATATAATTTTGTCTCAAAATTAAGGCATTTCCGGGAAATGTGGGGTTCCTGAGATCATTTGAAGTAACTTTTTCCTGTACAAAAATGCGCTCCGAGGCATCGTTAACGAGTTATTAACGAAAAACACTGACCAATGAGAAGCGAGCTCGGCTAACGCGAGGCGGTCGAGCCAACAAGCGCACGAAGCCCAGTTCCGTTAATTGGCTCGCCCGCCACGCGCCAGCTGATCTCGCCTCTCATTGGACACTGTTTTTCGTTGATAACTCGTAAACGAAGTTGCGGATTGCATTTTCGCTAAGGAAAAAGTTACTTTAAATGACCTCATGAACCCCTCAGTTCCCGGAAATACAATAATTTTAGGACACCCTGTATATATATGTATATAAACGGGTAAAAACCTATCTTTTACGAGACAGAGAAAACAAGAGGCTAACATTAATATTAATGCAGAATCAGCGAATCTGCGGTACGGGTGAACAGTTTATGCAAACTCGTCTTGAATTTTGCGATATTGGCTGCAAATAGGTCTATTTGATCGCTATTGTCGTTTAGAATTTGAAGTGACCCGTAAGAGAGGGGTCGATCGCGCTGAATCTCGACGAGCAGAATGAGGTTCTAAAGGGCAGTGCTGAGCCAGCAGCAAATCGGGAAGGAGCATCGATGTCGACGAGCAACAATATTGCGAAGCGAAGATGCTGATGTTGGACCGAAGATAAGAAAAGGAACAAGATTATACGGTAATAAAATGATGCGGCGGACCCAGGCAGCCTCGAACCGTGAAATCCAATCATGGTTGTTGGATCGCGGTCTCAAAGTCTTGTGGCTTTGACAGAGGTGGGATTTGTGGGCTCGCGGGTTAGCCGGCCGCTTAATAGCTTTTTCGTCGGCGGCTCTCCGTCGAAAAATAATAATTGATAAACAGGCGGGGGCCGCCGAGCGGCGCTTAATTGAGCACCGCGCGGCGGTTATTTAAGTTCCGCGGTTATTTAAGTTTAGCGATCGGCCGTTCAAAGGTACTCACAATTAACCTTCAGATAGACTCTCTTGCTGACTGCCGGAGGCACTTCGTTTTTGGCTATGCAAAGATAAGCCCCCATTTGCCTCCTGTCTACCCTGGTTAATTCCAGCTTCTCGCCAGACTGGTTGTCCACTAGAAAATCGCGCATCGTATGAATATCTTGTTGAAAGCTCTCGTGCTCGTATACATATCGCTGGCGCCCGGCCAGCGTTTACGCGTACACCGAATTACAGGAAAATAGGTGGTCCGCGTTCGAACGACCCGGCCGCCGCGCACTAAATACCCTAAATCTCCGACGCTCGCGAACTAACCGAAAGGTAAAAACCTGTTCGATGAAAAAAGAAACCCGTTCGATGAGAAAAGCTTCCGAAGCCCTTCGGAATTTCGATTGCGATTTCAATTCTCCGGCACCGAGCGGAGCGGGTACGTATCGAGCGTTAAACGGTGCTCCGCGAGACATTTAGCGTAGTTCCGGGGACAAGTTTGCTTAGTCGTGTGCCGCGGTGAACGCGTTAAGAGGATTTCGTGTCCAACGAACAATTAATAGAACGCGAACTCGACGGATAACTCCCGGCCAGCATTGCGGCGGAGTTAACGGGAACGCGTGGACGCAGAAGGGCGTCGCGTCCCATTCCGTCGTCCCCCTATTCCGTCCCAGTCGATGCACGCCGGTATTATCGTTCAAGTGTACACGCGTGGTCGCGACGTTTCAGCGATCGATGAAACGCGATGAATTGCATTAACATCGACTGATCGAGCGACATAAATCATCGGCTCGTCCCGCGATTCGGATAAAACGCGTCCGCTGCTCGCGCACGGCCTAATGAGATCCATCGAAAATGGAGGATTCATTATTCGCCGGCGGGCATTTATTTTTGTTACAGCGCCGACCGCCGCGGAAATATTGCGCGGACACGATTCGTCGACGCCGGCCCGGGAGGATTCGTCCCGTTAACGAATATTAACGGCCGATTAACGAATTTATCGGGCACTCGCGCGAAAAGCGCGTCCGCGTCGACGTCTGCGGATACGTCGGCGGACGAATGCCGGTACCGAATCGGTCGAACATCGGCCACACGCGCGGAGAGACCACCCGAAAGATATTGAAAGTCATCGCGGGCGAACTAATCTCTATTCGATGGGACATGCCCCGGCGCGTAATTGCTTTCGATCGGCATCCGCGAATTTACGACGTCTTCGTGTCCCGCTAAACGGATCCCGACGGCGAATCATCTCGCGCAGACACCTTGGATAATTAGTTCGCGAAACTGCGGGGACCTTCCGCGACGTGTCTTCGATCCGAATTTTAATTACCACTCGACCGGGCGAAACTCCTGGGCGCGCCGCGGCGACGGCTCGACGATCGTGGCGATTTACCAAAAAATTAGGCGAACGATGCTCGACCCTCGTAAACGAAATTATACCGCTAACGACGTTTCAACGACTCGACCTGTTCCCACCATACCGGGAATAGTGAGAATTTTGTAATAATAATAATAATAATATTTATCCATATATGTATATAAACGAGGGAAAATCTTTTGCTACAAACAGTTTAAGATCGACGAACGATAGGAAGAAAAAAAAAGAGAAATATGGTACAACAGTAACGATAATGATAATGAATATAAATAAAATGGCAATAAGAGAGAAACGAAACAATAATTGATAATGTAGAAGTTTAAAGAGGAAGAAAAAAGAGAAATATGGTATAAAATAAATGGAAAAGTAAAGATAGTCATGGCAAAGATAACGAATATAAATAAAATGGCAATAAGAGAGAAAGAAAGCAATAATTGATAATATAGAAGTTTAGAGAGGAAGAAAAAGGAGAAATATATTATAAGAGAAATGGAAAAGTCAAGATAATCATGGCAATAATAACGAACATAAATAAAATGGAAATAAGAGAGAAAGAAAGCAATAATTGATAATATAGAAGTTTAAAGAGGAAGAAAAAAGAGAAATATGGTATAAAATAAATGGAAAAGTAAAGATAGTCATGGCAAAGATAACGAATATAAATAAAATGGCAATAAGAGAGAAAGAAAGCAATAATTGATAATATAGAAGTTTAGAGAGGAAGAAAAAGGAGAAATATATTATAAGAGAAATGGAAAAGTCAAGATAATCATGGCAATAATAACGAACATAAATAAAATGGAAATAAGAGAGAAAGAAAGCAATAATTGATAATATAGAAGTTTAAAGAGGAAGAAAAAAGAGAAATATGGTATAAAATAAATGGAAAAGTAAAGATAATCATGGCAATGATAACGCATATAAATAAAATATCAATAAATGAGAAAAAAAGCAATAATTAATAATATAGAAGTTTCAAGAGAAACTCCGGAAAAGTAGCGTAATCCATAATCTCGTATAAAAATAAAAGCTTAGCGACGTTTCGTCGTTGTTCAAGGGTCGCGAACCCAATTCAGGCTAAAATAGAATTGCTATTGTGATCGAAAATCGACGTAGGCGTGCCAATAAAATAACAAACTGACTTCGAAAGCGTGCATTCTCAATTAACGCCGAGTGGTTTTTATAGTACGGAAAGCAAATAACTGACCCATATTCTGTTATAGAGCGCACTAACGAATCGTAGAGAATTAAAAGTATATAAATGAAACGTTGCAATAGCTGGCTAAAGGGTTAACCGGTCGAACGGCTCCACGATGAGGAACGGCGGGCTTTCGGCCTTCCGGCTACTTGGCCATTTTGCCATTTGGCCGTTTGGTAAGGGCCCCTCGCAACGGTGCGCGGCGACGTCGAGAATTAATAAAAAGAAAAGAATCGAACGTTGTTTGTCATCGACAAGGGCCGACGCGGCGCGACGAAACGCGAGAGTTCCCGGCCCGAGATAAAAGTGTAATATCTTACCCAGTATCAGCGGATCGTGAGGACCTCTCCTCATAAGTATGGAACCATTTTTCTCGCGGCGCCAGACCACACGAGGTGGCGGTCTTCCAGAAGCATTGCACGAGAGGGTGGCGTTCTCGCCTTCCTGAACGTAGACCTCGCTCTCCGACGTCCCGGAGTTCAGTATATCCGGCGGTACTGAAACAACCAACTCGGCTCGCTCGAGAATCGTACGGGCAAACAATCAAGTTTCAACGAATCCGAGCAATTCTTCGAGGCTAACCACGACGGTTCTTACCGTCTTACGTCTGTCATTACCTTATCGTCGCGCCGCGCGTTATTTTCACACCGGTCTTCCGGAGCAAGCAGTTTTTCAGACTCGAGCTCAAGTTGAATTTCCTTCTCAAGCGTCCCGTCCCGTCCCGTCCCGTCCCGTCGCGCCCCGAAAGAAAGTCGAGTGCAAATTGGAGAAGCGCGAGCTGCATTCCGCGCGCGAAAACCGTCGGAACTTTCGAATTCAATTTGAAGTTGGAGTTTTGAGGCGTCCCGTGCCAGCCGAATAAAGCGTTAAACGCGTATTTACACGGTCGCCACGGAATTTACCGGCCCGCGCGAACTTCTCGGACCGCGCGCGGGCCCCCGTCAAGATTGCACACGCGCCACGAGGCCAGAGTCCCGACGGCCGGCGCGACGGCCACGCTGACGGTGACGGCCGCTATGGAAATTGGACTGAGGATTCGGGCCGGGCCGGGAGCCGAAAATCAGGTTAAAACGTTCCGTTCTCGTGGAAAATTAAACAGCGTTTACCGAGCCCGTGTTATCGGGGAGGGAACACATTTTTGGGATGAAATCTCGCTTCTTTTGACCGAGCGCCGACGCTGCGAGGCCATTTCAATTACACGGATTCAACTTGGACAAATATTCCCGACGCGGGAACAGCGAGGGTGGGTCGGCATTGGGATCGGCCGGGGTCGGGGTCGCGGTCGCGGTCGGGGTCGGCCCCCAGAAAGGAAGAAACGGGACCTTTCCCGCGCATTAAGCCCACAAAGGAATTTCATTCCATTCGTTCCGATCGGTCTTTCGATACGAATGCAGGCTGCCAGCGGATAGCCGGCTGGCAGAGCGGGCAGCGAACAGGCAGGCAACAAGCAGGCGGCAGGATGTAGGCGCACCGCTCTCAATGAATTCCTTTCCACCCCTGGTGGGTGCGGTGTCCGCACCCGCTCCGTCGTACAATGAATCGCATGCACGCGGTTGCACGCGGCTGCACGCGCTTACATCCGAGGATCCGTGTGCCGGGTATTGGGCGCCGGGATATAGGGGCGCGCGACGCGGGGCGCACGGGGTGCGGGTACAGAGAGCAGCGAGAAGGATAGACGCAGCGGCGGAACGAATAGAAGGCGACACGGCGAATGCAATACCGTGCCGTATGCCGCATGCAGGCTGAACCATCCGAGTCCCCCGGACTGAAATATTCTCGAAACTGTTAATTCCGTCGGAAGAATCTTTCCGACGCCGGTGAAACGGCTCCGCCGAAGCGCTCAACCCTCGCCGCCTCCAACTATTTAGCGGACTATCCGTCGGGCAACTCCAATTTATTCGCGGCGTCTGTTGGCTTGTAAGCAGCTTTCGCACGCGAGTAATAGACTTCTAGTCGTTTAACGAGATTTCGGTAACGTAAAGCGCTTGACAGTCAACCTGCGGCCGATAAGGGTTAATTCGGAACTTCTTCGTGGATGTAGAAAGTTTCGAAGTTCTACGGTCTCTTCTGTTTTTTTTTCGAATGGAAGCATGCATTGTCTTGTAGGAAACGGTTCGTCCGAGGCAGCTTTCGATCAAATTTCGAAAATATATCGGCTCGCAGCGTCGCAGTCGGCCTGCATGCGGGCTACGTTTAGCGTTTCCATTGAAACGTATCGCGGCTGCGAGACAGACATATTTTCCAGCCCCATCTCGGAGCGAGGCTAATACCGGGGAGCCTAATTCCGCGAGGCTAATACCGCGATGGTAATTCCGCGAGGAATCGGTGCGTGTGCCGCGTTTGCCGCGTGTGTCGCGTGCCTTGCAACGCGCGGCACGTGCGTGTGCGACGTCTCGACCGAGCGACCGCAAACACAGTAACACGCGCGGCCCCCGTGGCCGTCCGACCGCCACGGAATGCGGGATAACGCGCAATTAGGCATACCTAGGACATCGACGCATCCCAGCTGGCTCAACATGGGCTTCGTGTTCAGTTGGCACATGTAGCAGCCTCGGTCAGCTTCTTGAAGCTGGCGAATGTGCAGCTGCGAAGTGGCCTCCTCCTCGTCCCTCGATTGGCTCTGATTCTTCGTCTTCGCGTTCTCCAGCGTGACGGAGAACCGGGGCGAGTGGATCACCTTCTGCTGACCCATCGACAATATCGTCTTATCCTCCACACGGAGCCATCCCACCTGAGACAGTAAACACAGAGAAGCGTCTTGTTTTAACACGTCAATCAACCGATCTCCTAAATCGACCGGCTCTTCCGACATTCCATGCCCTCCTACGCGCCACATTCTCGGCTCGAAACCAACGGAATGCGAAGCACTCCGTTACACACGCTCCGTTGCGTTAACATTATCACCGTCGCGTCGCGTCGCGTCGCGCCGAGCCGAGCCGAGCCGAGCCCGCGACACATCGCAACGCGCGCGTCCTACGTTCCTCCGCGTTCCCGACAATTATCTCGATGTTCTAGTCCGAGTGTGACGCGCGTAATATCGGGATGAGTGCGGGTTAGAACGGGAACAGAATGGCAAGCGGACTTGATTAAATAGCCAACGGGGCGGAAGACGACGCGGAAACGCGCGCGCTCTTGTCGCGTTTCTCTCGGAACGACCGAATGATTCGGAACTTTTGCGAAAGCTGATCGATTTCGCTCGAACTTTCATTTTATTTTCTGGATGGGGCTCAGATTTCATAGTCATAGTCATGGTTACGACCATCAGGGTTGCCATTCGGGGAGATCAATTATTCGAGCGACTCGTTTTTGCGGTTACCGATTGTCGACGACTGTAAAAACGAGCCGAAAGAGTCGAATAATCGATCCGCAAGGCTCTTCTTCCCAAATTGTTCATTTTTGTCTCCAAGCTGAGGGTCAATTAGGGAGAATTTACTGTATCACGAATCGTCAACCGGAGATTCGGTCGTCAAAGCTGGACATTGCGAAATGTTTTTAACTTTTTCGGAAGAAATATGCGAGGAATTTTGATCCAGTTTGACATCGGAGGGTTCAGATAATAATTTTTTGTTAATTCATTTTTTCTACCAATCCGGAGACATTCTGGACTGTTCGTGCGAAAACTGTGACGTGTGGCCGGCATATTTTAAGAATGTTGCATCATTTTACAAAAATGGATATAATTCATAAAATATCAGGGAGTTAAATCAAATTATAAGATATGTTGCTGCATTGAAGACATAAGACACGTGCCTCTGTGAATGGGCACATTACAATATCCGCAGATGTATCTAAGTACAGCAATGTCTCCCTTATTGACGCTTAGATTGCGCACAAAAATGGACAATTTGGGAAGAGGAGATACGATTAATTCGAGTCTTGCGCCTTGTTTTATAGTTACGAATTATCAACAACTATAAAAACGAGTTGCAAGGATCGAATAATCGTATCTCCTCTTCCGAAATTGTCCAATTTCGTGCACAATCAGAGCGTCAATTAGAGAGACATTACTGTAGTCCTTCTTCGTTTATTCTGTTTATTTCAGACGATCAAGAGAATGATTATTTTTAGTCGATAATGTGTTAATAAAATTGTAGATCCGGAGATTTGTATTAAAAACCGGATGGCAAGCCCTGGTTACGGCATCGTGCCGAGAAAGCACGCAGCCACCGTCAACAAGCACGATCGAACGATCTCTGGCAAAGTAAATTTTGATTCGAGCTCGGTTCGGTTACGATAGTAGACGGGGCCCCCTTGTTTAGCTTCCGGTGCGTGATTTCGGCAGGCATACCCTGTTGGTGCTCAAAACTGCAGGGCGCACGGTGGCACAGTATACCGGGCGAGCCGAATCGCCAGCAGCGCGGAACGAAATAATTAAAGAGAATTGTTTCCTCGCGCTCGAAAACAAAAAACGCGAGAGCCGATCCCTCGCCCCGGCTCGAATTCGCGGGTAAACGGGGCCAAACGCTGGCAAACGCGAAGCGGAGAAACGCGTCGCGAGCCTGCGGGCCGCGCGCAAACGACCGCCCTTCCAAAGAAAACGCGGAAACTGGAGCGTAGTCGCGCAAAGTATCCTCCGAAATTGTTTCAATTTGCTAGTTTTTGCAAGGGGCGCGTCGACACGCGAGACGAGCTTGTTCGCTTTTGGAGCGAACAGGCCGCAGCCGTCGCCTCGCCTGCCTCGCCCTCCCTCCGCTTGGCTCGGATCTACAAAGCGTCAATCTTTCGCGTCGGTTTTCCCTTTCCGCGCGAGTTCGCCTAGTNATGTTTTTAACTTTTTCGGAAGAAATATGCGAGGAATTTTGATCCAGTTTGACATCGGAGGGTTCAGATAATAATTTTTTGTTAATTCATTTTTTCTACCAATCCGGAGACATTCTGGACTGTTCGTGCGAAAACTGTGACGTGTGGCCGGCATATTTTAAGAATGTTGCATCATTTTACAAAAATGGATATAATTCATAAAATATCAGGGAGTTAAATCAAATTATAAGATATGTTGCTGCATTGAAGACATAAGACACGTGCCTCTGTGAATGGGCACATTACAATATCCGCAGATGTATCTAAGTACAGCAATGTCTCCCTTATTGACGCTTAGATTGCGCACAAAAATGGACAATTTGGGAAGAGGAGATACGATTAATTCGAGTCTTGCGCCTTGTTTTATAGTTACGAATTATCAACAACTATAAAAACGAGTTGCAAGGATCGAATAATCGTATCTCCTCTTCCGAAATTGTCCAATTTCGTGCACAATCAGAGCGTCAATTAGAGAGACATTACTGTAGTCCTTCTTCGTTTATTCTGTTTATTTCAGACGATCAAGAGAATGATTATTTTTAGTCGATAATGTGTTAATAAAATTGTAGATCCGGAGATTTGTATTAAAAACCGGATGGCAAGCCCTGGTTACGGCATCGTGCCGAGAAAGCACGCAGCCACCGTCAACAAGCACGATCGAACGATCTCTGGCAAAGTAAATTTTGATTCGAGCTCGGTTCGGTTACGATAGTAGACGGGGCCCCCTTGTTTAGCTTCCGGTGCGTGATTTCGGCAGGCATACCCTGTTGGTGCTCAAAACTGCAGGGCGCACGGTGGCACAGTATACCGGGCGAGCCGAATCGCCAGCAGCGCGGAACGAAATAATTAAAGAGAATTGTTTCCTCGCGCTCGAAAACAAAAAACGCGAGAGCCGATCCCTCGCCCCGGCTCGAATTCGCGGGTAAACGGGGCCAAACGCTGGCAAACGCGAAGCGGAGAAACGCGTCGCGAGCCTGCGGGCCGCGCGCAAACGACCGCCCTTCCAAAGAAAACGCGGAAACTGGAGCGTAGTCGCGCAAAGTATCCTCCGAAATTGTTTCAATTTGCTAGTTTTTGCAAGGGGCGCGTCGACACGCGAGACGAGCTTGTTCGCTTTTGGAGCGAACAGGCCGCAGCCGTCGCCTCGCCTGCCTCGCCCTCCCTCCGCTTGGCTCGGATCTACAAAGCGTCAATCTTTCGCGTCGGTTTTCCCTTTCCGCGCGAGTTCGCCTAGTCGTAGTTGCCTCGCGACTAGGAAATCCAATTTGCGGGAATTCTCGTAACTCGGTCCGAGGGACGCGCGTCGTCGTCGTTGATCAAAAGTTGCCGCGTCGGCGTAGACGTCGACGTCGACGTCGGCGCGTTCTTCGCTGCGAGATGGGATTTCGCGCTGCGCGAAACTCCTTTGACCCATTGTTGTGCTAACACATGCGAATTTAAAGCGTCCCTCTATTTTCCGCGCGGTACGTTTCCCCTTCTGTTCCCCATTCTACTCTTCTCCAGTCTCTCTCTCTCTCTCCCTCTCTCTTTATCTCTCTTTGTCTGCGCGATCTTCCGCCTTCAAAATCAGAGTTAACCGTTTCCGCGGGCTCACGGCGCCGTCGGCTACGCTTTAGAAAATTTCGGGAAGAGTTTCCACGGGGAACGGCGGCGAAGAAAATTGAAAAGAACGGAGCTCGACCAGAAAGATTCCGTTGGGAATACGAGATACGGCGGGCGAGCGTTCATCGGCCAAGATAAAAACAAAGAACGGTCGCGCCGGACATTTTATATTCGTGTTCTGTAACTCGAGTAAAAATCAGTGGAACGTGACGACCGAAAACGGGGGAGCTCTGTTTCCGGTTGGCCGGTGACCGTCCTCCTCTCGCCGGACTCTTGCTGCCTCTCGGGTTTCTTATCGCTGTTTCGTAACAGCTCTCGCCGATTTTCTTGGAGCTTTCCCGACGGTACGAGTGGAGGAAGCAGCAGAAGCAGAAGAAGCAGAAGGACGTGGGGACGCGACGGCATTTAAAGCACGCGCCGCAGCTTTTCGAGCCACCGAAATCCTTTCTTTTCCTCCTTATACCGGCTTTCCCCAGGAAGCCGGATCAACCCCGAAAAAATATGGAGTGACGTTCGCTGCTCGCAAGAAACCGCGGCGAAGCTTCGCGGAGCGGTTTTTACGTCGAAGTCCATCCGCGGAGATCTAACGCGATCGCTGTCCAGCTCCCCGGTTCGCGAAGACCGTGGGAAAACTGAAAAGATACAATCGCGGCGGCGAGGAATGGAAAGAACTCGGGAGGGAGGCGATCGCGCGGAAACTCGGAATCGAACAAAAGGAGGAGGACGAGTGTCGCGTCACGCCGGCAATTAAACTTTCCTTGTGCTCCGGGGTGGCTCCGTCCTCGAAGGAGTCGCGGAGATCGAACCGCGGCAGAAATTCGTAGAAATTCCGGGCACAGCCTCTCGTGTCCAATCATTTATTCGATGGAACCTGAGAACTGTAAACCGCGAAACGCGGACTGCGAACCGGTGAATTGTGAACCGCGGACGATCCCCCCTTCCCGTCAATCTGACCGAAGATCGACCGTCATCGAAATCCTCGTTTCTTGTTTCGTCGCGGAAATTGAACGGGCGAACGATCCCGGCTTGTCGTCACGTTATGTCATTAGAGAAACGGCCTGTTAACGCGGGCTGCGAACGCAACACGCCGCTGACGAAAAGCGACGAGGCGAGACGGCGCGGGGCGGCGGGCGGAGCACAGCTTCACGCGCTAATTTATTTTCCGCGCATCGTTCGCGCGTCACGACGCCTCTCCACGAGTGTCCGATGATCGAACGAGCGTTTCGTATGTTTCCTGGAAACTTGAGTCGTTAGCTCCGAGAAGATGAATTACCGTCGGGCTATACCGGGTAATCCCTCGCGCGTAAAAACGAGCAAGAAGACGACGTC